ATAAATCCAGGCTTATGGGGATGTGAAGAGACAAAAACTCTCAAGGACTGCTGAAAGGGAGCATCAGTACCACTTGTAAAAATGAAGCTAGGTATCTGTGCTCACATTGGGCATTCTACTATTAGGGATATAAATTTAGTGAACACCAGGGCCCTCCCTAGAGGCATAGCAGGTTACAGCGCAGCCTTGAGAAGCTGGATCTTCAACACGTTAATCCCCGGCCAGGGAGCTGACCCACTCTCTGGTGTGGCAGTGGGTCTCTCCTGTCTCAACTGCTGCTCCCCTCGGCAGTGTACTTCGTCGATCTGCCTGTTCTGCTCCCCACTCGTCTCTTGTGAATCCTCTACCACCCCTGCAACTCTGGCCTGTACCCTAGTTCTGTATGCCTAAATAAATAAATCTTTAAAAAATAATGAATGCCAATAAAGAGAAATCAACAAGGGTGTTCATGTTTTCTTTGCCCATAACAGTACCCAACCATAGACAACCTTAATAAGCCACCTGCCATGCAGGATGATTCAGTCTACACTGTGAGAATGCTGTAGATTCCACACATTACCAAATGTGTGTTAGACCTTTATTAAAGACCAAGCAAACACCCCACCCACTCCACAGCAGATAGGTTTCTGCACTACTAAGACACCCTGAATTCCAAGAAACAGTTATAAGCATACAACTTAAAGAGAAAATATACCATTGTCCGAATGATCAATTTGTATTCCCTCCAACTGCAAATTAATTATATAGTAATAATCCCTATTTTTAAAGATAATTTTTTATGATAGTACCGTTGGTGTACATTGTTGTTCATATTTTGGGAGTACAGGATCGCACTCTTTAGGTGATCTCACCCTTCAGGCAGTCTGTGTAGCACAATCGCCACCAAGGTACCCAGAGTCCACCATGCTCACTCTTTAGAAAGGCAATAAGCACCCCACAAGGTGTTTGCGGTGTTTAGATCTGTTGGGAACCACACCAGATTGAACTCTGCAAATCTACCTGAAGATGGCATGCAAGACAAGGATGCAGAGACTCATTTGTTTGTACATTTCAGTCTCCTTCCAGTTACTCTGACACAAATATACTTTAAAGATATACTTTATCTCTTTAAATTGCTGTGTAGGTCAGTAGTAATTCACGACTATGCTTTCCTGGTACAAAGTCACACATTCCAGATAATACAAAAGCCCCTGTTGACCTGGAATCCGAGTTCCCTCCCTGATACCTGGAGAGGATAATGGAACAACTTTGCATGCTTTGTCTTAGATGTTCTGTCAATGCTGTAGAATTTTGTGGGCTTTTTTTTTTTAACTGATTTACATTTCTGGCGTCATGACGGTATATGTCCTGAGACCTGCTTTTTTCCACCCCACATTGTGTCTTTATTCATTTTCTATGCTGGTGTCATCCAAAACCACTTTATTCATATTTTTTATTTAGTTTATCAAATTGTATTGATTTGCCATGGGTTAAAGAACCATAGAAGGTTGGGAGTACAGCTTCATACCTCCACACCTGCCCTCACCTGCTCTCATGAGAGCAGAGTTCCAGTCAAAGCCTGTCACCTGCTCTCTCCACCCCAGCCTGTCAGTAATTCACTCTTTTTCACTTTCACAAAGTTACTTCAGCACCTTCACCTCATTAACTGTTTCTGGTCCCCCACTTGGCGATCCCACAGGCTCAACAGCCCCTCAACAGCATGGGGCCACTAAAGCATCCTCCTCCCCCTCTGCTTGCTGCAGGTACCTCTTTCTAGAGGCAAACATCCATATGACTTCAGCCATTCAAACCCAGCTTTGACAACTAAAGGAATTCCAGAAAGCTCCTGCCTCAAGCTAATCTGAGAAAGCACTGCCTTGGCTGCTTGGGGGCTTTCTCAGGTGGTAAGTAGAGCAGAGTGCACTTTGTGGGGAGCCCTGATCCTGGCTGTGTCCCCCTCCCCTCCCCCAGGTCTAGGGTCAGTACTGACACCTTTGCCGCCTTCTCCCATTTCTGATGCAGGGGTGCTGTGTGACCTTGGGTGAGTGGCGCCCCGCCCCAATCCTCCACTTCCTCACTTTTGAATAGAAGAGACTGGGTCATCCACACTGTTGGGGGTTCTCTCATCTGAAGAAGAGAGCCCAGCTGCCTTCACTGACAAATGTAAGGGACACCGCAGGGGTCCCAAGGAAAAAAAAAAACGTTCCCTTGGAGCCCCATCAATGGCCTGTTTCTTGGGCTGAACACAGGGGAAGTATAATTAGTGCTCTCAGGAAAGGAGGTGCTAACAAGATACAAGGCCTTCCCAACTGCTCCTCCTGGGGGTCTAGACCCTCCTGGGGTCGTGGGCTCTGGTTTTGCATAGGCAGGAGTGATTGCCTTACAGCTCAGCCCAGCTTCTGAAGGCAGTTGCCATAGCAACCCAGATCTGGTGAACCACATAAAACCTGTGACCATAAAGAGCCTCTTTAAAGGTGGCAGAGAGGCAATTCCTCCTCCCCCAGGCAGAGCAACGCCATGCACTGCAGACTCGTGAGTGCCAAGGGTCTGGGGACACAGATGTCTGAGCGCTGGTTGCCAGGATGGGAGGACAGGCTCTGGCCCGGCCAGAGGACACCAGCGCCAAGAACTCCCTGGGCTCCCATCCCGAGATCTTGCTATCATGCGTTCTTCGCCTCATTCTCTACCTTTGCTCCATCTCCTTCCTCTGCCCCTCCCCTCATGGCTCCAGTCTCCAAAATGCTGAGGAGCGGGGAGGGGGAGACACCGCATGGAACCTCCTGGTTTAAGCACCTTCTTCTCCTGCAGCCTCAAGGGCCTCCACTCCAGGGTCACAGACCCGCACCTTCTCTAGCACCCTGCCTTCTCTAGCACATGGTGCCTGGCCCCCTGACCTCTTCAGGCTGGCTCATGGTAGTGGCGGGGGTGGGGTGGGGGGACAGGGATAGGTGGGGGGATTGGGTCTTCTCATTTCTTACAGACATCCAGCTCCACCCTCTCACCGAACAGCACACCCTCCCTCACCCAGCACACACCAGCTAGCCTGATTTTCTCCCCTTAGCAGGCACCAGCCTCGGGGGTCAGCTCTGCCTGTTTATGCCCTCCTCTTGGTCTCCCTCTCTGAATACAAATGCCCACACGTTGTCTCCCTTAGTCACAGACTTTTGCTCACCATCTAGAACGTGCCTAGCAGTGAGTGGGTTCCCAGGACCCTCCTGCCCACACAAGTAGAATGGAGAACGCAGGGGTATGGAGAAAGGCTTTCCACTGCATCCAGCCAGAGCAAACCCGTGTCCCTGGACCTGCCCCACCTGTGACTCACCAGCACAGAGACACATGGAGCAGCTGGGGGAGTGTGAGGGGGAGACCCCGCCTCTGTGAACCGGCCCTGAGGGTCGGTTCAGTTTCCCAGATCCTGCGACTGAGTGAAAAGACTTCAAGCGAAACCACTGACGTCCTAGGCTAATTGATGTAAATAAGAACTTTTAGGAAACTATTTCTGGCCACAAAACCATCACCCAACTGCTAAATAAAGACCCCAAACACTTTTAGTATGAACAGTCATCTGTGTTCATTCATACATTCTTCCACCCAATTAATCCAACTCAGGGCTGGGAGTGGCTGGAGCCCACCCAGCAGCTGAAGGTCAAGGCGGACCCATGCTGGACAGGACGCCCACCTGTGGCACAAGCACCACGCATGACACAGCAACAGAACACGAGCCCCTGTGTTCCCTGGAGAGGCACCCCTCTACGTTTCACAGACCTGGGTTTCTGTATTTAGCTGACATCTTGCTATCTCCTTGCATTTTGAAGACAGAGGGCTTTCTGCAAAGAAACACTACAATAAAGCCAAGAACATAACCCTGCAACGACGACGTCAGAACTGCTGGCCACCAGACCATGACGGAAACAACTGATGTCACCCAAGTCACCAGACGCCTGCTTACAAGAATGGGGGAGCCGACCCTTACCCACGCCCTCTGTTTCCTGCTCTTCTAACCCAAGACAAACACCCTGACACTCTGCTGGTGAGCAGGACGGAAGTCTTCCAGACTCTAGTCTGTGGTCTTCTCATTTGTCAACAAAGAAACAAAACTTCCTTCCTTCTCCTCAAAACACTTTTTATTGGCATAGGGGAACCAAGACTGGCTGGTATAACACACACACACACACACACTCTCTCTCTCTCTCTTCCAAAATGTGGGAAATTGGACATGGCAATGAACCTCCTGTACACAGCCTTGGGATGTGGGGGACACCCAGGCAGACATGGAAAGGTGTCCACTTGGCACAGGTAGGGATGGATTGTTTTTGCTCATACACACGTGACCTGCCGACCAGCCATATAGACAAATAGTCAGGTGGGAGAGGGTGTGTGTGGTCCCAGAGATGGAGCGAGGAGAGGGCCCACCATCCATCAGGACAACTGCCACCAACCAGGCTAACAGCTATCATGACCTCTCAGGCCTTTGACTACCCTGCGGGAGGAATAGCTATCTCCATCCCAATAATCTGGCACTAGATGCATCTCCTCACCTGGTCCCTTCTTAGATTCTTCACTGGGTAAATTCCTGGTCCCTTCCTCTGGGAAGGCCCCCCTCACCCATGTCCCTTCCTCCGGGAAGGCCCCCGTCCTCCCAGACACACCAGAGCACTTACTGCAACTGCCAACACATGCAGTTCTGTGCAGGTCTCTCCCTACTGACCAGGATGAGGCTGGGGTCTATGGACCCCACCTACCTACTCCATCATGGTGCCTGGCCCACGCAGCCAGGAGTGATTTCTGCTTCCTACTGGTGGGACAACAGCGACCCAGTGAATTGCCAGATCTCACCACGTGCAGGTGGGGCCAGGAGGTCTGGGTCTAACCCCCAGGCCCTCCTTCAGTGTTAGAACCATCAATGCTGTCCCAACTTGGGACAGAGGCGCAGATTTAGGCCTGCCCTGCTTGGGGCTGTGAGGACACTCAAGGGGCTTCCAGTACCATTAGTGAGCCCATCCCTCTGGCTCAGACCTTACCAGAGCTTGCTCGATGAGGAGGCAGAAGAGGATGGCGTTGCCTACTTCCCTCAGGCTCTGGAACACATCTGTCTTGAGCTCGGCGTACTCAATTATGTCCTTCAGCTGGTGGTGGAAGAACTCCAGTATCCCTGGGGGTGATGGAAGGTCAGTGAGCGTAGGGCATTGCAGGGGCCCAAGGTGTGACTAGTGTGGCAAAGCCCACAGCCTGCCTCCCTCTAGGTGTGTCCTGGGGTGAGAGCTCTTTTGGGGTTTAGTCCTAGAGAGAGCTCAGGGGACTGACTGAAATCTTACTTGCAACCGAACAAAACACACAGAGTCCTAGACTCTACTAGTCCCTCCAAAGATTACCCGAATTCCTGATGACAGGAATGAGCGTGTACTTGTAGGTGATAGCTGTAGTGTAAGCGCTTTATCTGCAATAGCTCATTTAACACCCAACTGCACTGTACCATCACCCCTGTCTTCAGATGAGGTTCTCAGAGGTGAAGCAACAAGCCCAGCTGGGTATGAAGCAACATGTCACACAGCTGAGAAGCAGCATAGCTGGATTGAAGCTCTGGGCTACCTCTTCCTGTTCTGAATCACTCTGCCCAGCACTGACATTTTGCTTTTTCTGTTTTTTAAAGATAGATTTATTTACGCATACAGACTGGGGTACAGGCCAGAGGTGCAGGGGCCTAAGATAGAGGATTCACAAAAGACAGAACAGGCAGACTGACAAAGTACACTGCTGAGGGGAGCAGAGGGTGAGACAGGAGAGGTCTGCTGTGCCATATGGATCACGTCCAGGGCCAAGGATTGCGCTCATACCAAAGTGGCCACAGCCAGCTTAGCAATGCATGCTTTTAACCCCCTGTGCCACCAAAGTGGACTAAGATATCTTGCTTTTTAAGGAAAAAAAAATTCCAGGGACTAAACAGACTGTGCCCATCTTTCCCTATTTTCCAGCCCCCAAGGCTCAACTCTCACTAGGGAAAGAAAGGTCTCTTTCTCTGCCCAGGGCTCCTCTCCTCTCAGGGAGGCACTGATGCTTGGAGGTGCAGAGCTCTCTAGCTGGGGCAGAGGCAGTCCACCCGCACCCCGCAGGCTCGCTGGCATGTAGAGGCCCACCACTCCAAGGAGATGGCTGGTGCTCCTGTCCTGGGACTGGATTAGGATTACTTCCTATCACCACCCCCTCCCTGGTTCCCCACCACCAACCTGGGGAGCCATACTCGTGCCGGGGCAAGCGGCATATCTTGGGCATCACTTCGATTAGAGTTTTCACGTACTGGAGGATGGTTCCTTGCAGCTGATAAAAGAAGTGAACAAGGAGAGTGAATAACCCACCACTACCGGGTGAATCTACAGGCGGCTGGGGTGGGGGTGGGGGGTTGTGCTGAGATCTGTGGGTAAGTATGGCGGCATGGATATTGTGCCCCTAACCTCCACGTTCATGGGATGAAACCTAAGCCACAATGCAGGGGCATTTGGAGGTGGGGATGTTGGCAGGGGATTAGGTCCCAAGGATGGATGGAACCTTCTAGATGCATCAGCAGCCTTAGGAGAGAGACCCCAGAGACATAATATCATATCAACCATATGATATTACAAAGACACAGTGAGAAGGCCGTGAACCAGGACTCGGGGTGGGGTGGTCTCACCATAACCTGGTCCAGGCCTCCCAGCCTCCAGAACTGTGAGGCGTTCGCACTGCTGTCTAAGCCACCCCATCTGCAGTGCGTGTCAGGGCAGCCTCAGCAAAGTCAGTAAGGCCTTGTTCCCCAAGAGGAGGCTTGTGCCCCCTAAAGGCTGGACTGTCCTATCATCCTTGATAAGTGAAGTTGACACTCTTAAGACAGAAAGGGGGTGCCCTCCTGATCCCCTCTGGCTTATAGCCTCAGGGAGGGCACAGGATCCATCCTGGATTGGAGGCTTCTAAGAGATCCAGACTACAGTAAGATGGAATGGGACCAGGGAGGGGGGGCTGAGGCAGACTATTGACGTAAGCCTGGAAAATGAATGGCACACTTGCCTGTGTGTCCAAGGCAGACCTCTTGAACCGACGATCACACTCTCCTGCGAAACTCTGAACTTAGCTTCGCGTCTGAAACAACCTGGCCTCACATAGCTGCTACCAGAGGACTGAGCAGGTGAGTCCTGCTAATCCAGATACTGTTACGCTTTATTTCTCCTTGGTCACCCCAGATTTTCAGGAAGATCTCGTTTTGCCTTGCTTCGGGAGTGCCCGGGGATATAAGGGAAGTACCAGAGAACCGTATTTGGCAAATAGAGAATGGGGAAGGGACACAGAGGTCCCTTGAGTCAAGTGCAGAGCTGGCAGTAGTGGGGAGTCCCAAGGGGAAGAAGCACGGTTAACCATGTCTGCTGCCGTCGGGGAGGAGAAAAAGCAATGCAGGAGTCCCGTTATTGCCCAGCTCACCCTGGGCAACATGGGAGGGGAGAGTATGGGCAGTCCTTAGGAGGTCTCGAAGTTAGTCAAAATCTAGATGCTGAGTCCAATGAGCAGAAAATGAGAAGCAAGTCACAGGTCAGTATAGGTCAGAGGAGCCAAGAGATAAAGGCACAGGATTCCCTGGAGGGCGACGGGCTCCCATTGGTGCCCGGTAAGGGTGCCCAGGCCAGGTAAGAAGTGAGAGAGACTTTGTTCCCATCCACCCCACCCGGCACGTGGAAGACTCCGGGTCCGTCCTTACCAGGCTCTTGACGATCTTCAGCAGCTCCTCCATTACCACAGCAATGCCCTGGTACCCCAAGAGTCTGCAGATAGTCTTAAAATGAGGGGGCCCCACGAAGTTCCTGTAGGAGCTGTAGATGTGGCTGTAGGCGATGTTGAGAGGCTGCAAGACAGTTGTGGCCATGTTAGCGGTGAACAAAGGCACGGATGCCGGCCTGCGGCTAGAGGGATGGAAACCTGCTGTGACCTGGGCTCTACCTGGGGAGACGCCGTGAATGTCTGCAAGATGCTGGTGGTGGGGCTAGGCAGGGTCAGTGCCCACTGCGTGGAGCAGAGCTTGCGAGCGGAGGAGGACACAGCTTTCTGGCCAGTGTCTTTTGCAGGGCCTCCTACCATCTGGCTGTCCACACACAGATGGACAAACCGAGCCACTGGGGGGGGGGGGGGGTAAACAGACAACCTGCTTTCTCTAGATGTAGTTTTGGTATTAAGAATTGGCTGGAAGAGCCATGTGAGAATCCAACAGTTGACTCAGTGACATCTTCCTTCCACTCGTGTCAAAGTCTGTCTCCATCTATAACCACCTGGGGTCTGGGGAACTGACAGGCCCGGGGTCAGAGATATCTACTGAGCACATGGAAAGTCCTTGAGGTGTTTTGTGACTCAGCATCTATGAGATGAGGGGGTCGGGTGAATCGGTGGCTGCCTGACTTTCCCAGTAGCATCGAAAGAAGAGGTAGCAGTGAGAGTGTGGGAGACAGTGGCAGGGCCCGGCCACTGACTGGCCACCTCCACTGTCCCCTGGGACTCACGAGATGCTGTAAGTGAATTACTGGGATCTCTCTGAGCTTTGCCTGGGAATAAAGGACCAAAGTGTAGGGCTCCCGACCCGCCCTGCATAGTTGGCAAGGCTAGCAAGTTATCACTGACTTTGTTTCAAAAGGCTGCCAGTGTGGGGTGCCCCATGCCAGGCTTCCTGATGCCACTGCATGCATGCTCACTTAATCCCCACACCAAGCCTATGGGGTATGGACATTCTGACTTGATATCTTGTTCCCCAGATGAGACGAGACACAGGCTATAAATCGCTGTACAAGGTCACAGCTGGCAGATGACTGAGCCCTGATGTGAACCCCACTAAGTCTTACTCTGAAGCCCCTACTTTTTACCCCTCCCTACGATAGTGGACTTTGGAAGCTGAGTGCTTTTCTCAGTGATACCCAGGGTGTTAGATAAGGTTTCACTCCCAAACTTAGTTCTGTGTCATTTTCCTACCTCGAACTGTGCAAATCTTGTGCACGAAGTCAACAAATGTGGGAAGACCATGTCTGATATTCTATTAGCAGGAAAACTTTACTGGCCAGGCCATTAGAAGCCCTCCCTGAATTGAACAGGAGCCGCAATGATGCCTGTGGAGGACTGCAAGGATCTCATCTCCCTTTGGAGCCATGAAGGGAAGATTTAATCATGTTTTGCATTAAGTATGTTTTTCTGTGCATTGTGATTCAAGGCTACCCTGACGAAGCACGGCAATTTTAGCACCCTCTCATTACAGGGATACACGAGGGGCACAATTAGAGTGCTGCTTGCCGTGAGGATTCGTGAGGAATTGAACGCCCACTCTTTCTTTCAGCAGGTCGAGTAACAGCTGTGCAGGGATCCTGCACAAACAGGAGGCCTGGGGATGAGGCCAGGGTCTCATATGCACGTATCAATAGTTACTAAAGATTTGTGTGTCCTAGGGTGGGGATGGCTTGGGTCCCCACAAGGGTTAGGACTTCTACCACTGAACTGAGGAAGGACACACCATCTGGTACCAGATTCTGGAATGCACCAAAAATGCAGATTTTGTTGCATATTTAGATTATAAACGTGAGAGCTGGCCACACACAGACTGTGCTGGGCAGAGGCTTCCCCACTGTGGTCTCTGAGGGGAGACTGGGGACAGGGTCCTGGGGCATGAGCACACTTGGGGCTCAGGGTTGGGACAGAAGCACTTATGTGGCCAGTGCATCTTCATGGACGTTTGTCCTTCCAAGCAGCCTCCTACCTCACTCCCAGCCAAGAGGCTTCTAATAACTACTCTCCCTGGGCCTCTCACAGGGAGCACCAGTAGGAAATTATCCAGGTAGATGGGGCTGGCCAGCAGCCCTCCCAGGTCTAGTAGAGGCGGAGAGTAATTCTGGGATTGTTTCACCGCACACAAGGTCACAACGGCCCCCTCCACCCCTCTTATAGACCCACTCAATGCACACAGGAGGCCTCTTGTTGATGATCCTACCCTCTCTCTTGGATTCTGGTACAGACCAGATGCTGGGCTTGGGTTGCTGGTTCCAGCTCAAGAAAGACCAGCATGAAACCAGCAGCAGCCAATGCCCCTGCTAAGTGAAGAAACTCCCCCGGCCCGCCGTACACCACGCCCATGCAAGAGGACACGCATGCGCATGCTGGGAGTTCATGCACACACACCCCCGGAGGGCACCCATCTGACCTGCTGGCTCAATAGGAGGCTGGGCCCTACTGAGAAAAGGTGGGAATATGGGAGCCTGGGCATTTTCTGAAGTTTGGCAAAGAAAAACAGGAATGCAACATGACTTGAGACCTGTAGGAAACTCACTACAAATCTCTACAAAACTCACTAGCTGTCAATCCTGCTAACTTGACTCTGGGTACAGCCCGTGCTTGCCTCAAAGACTACAGCTGACCTTGAGCAACACGGGTTTGAACCCCTGTGAGTCCACTCACCGTACATGTAAACAGACCAGTAGGCTTAGGACATTAGTCAATGCGGCCCATTACATGACGCGCATTTTCTCTCGTGCATGATAATCTTAATACTTTATTTCCTCTAGTTGAATTTATTGTAAGAACACAGTAGACATACTACATAGAACACACAAAATAGATGCTGTGTATGTTATTGGTGAAGTTTCTAATCAACTGCAAGTTACTGGGAGTTAAGAATTGGGGGAGTTAAAAGCTAAATTCAGATTTTAACCTCTTAGGTGCTGCCACCCGGGTTGTTATAGAGTCAGCTGAAATTATGAGTCCTGTTCAGGATGACTCATTTCGAGTGGAGCTTGTTTTAATCTTAATGGCACGATATTCAGGAGACCTCAAGAGAAACAGTCATGACTCAGGAATTAGAGCTGCATTACCACTGGGTAACACAGATGTGTGTATGTTTTTTTTTTTTTAAATAAATCAAAACAGTATTTTAAGGAGGGAGAAAATATAATGAGTTAGAGTTGACAGTTCCTGGCCACTGTAATATGACTGCTATGAGGACTTTTTCAGAAAAGTTGTGAAAAAATTTGTAGAACCATGTAAAATGTGCAATGTTGTGTTTGGGCTTTTTAGTCCTAAGACATCTCTCTCTCACCAGATGGTAAACACGACCAGTCATTCTAAACAATGAGGCCTATTTATTTGCCAAACGAAATTTGCAAGCAATTTGCCTCTCTGTTTTCTGGAATCACAATTGCTGTTTTCAGAGACCCCAAGAGGAATTAAAACAGCTCCTAATTTCCTGTTTTAGTTACAATTTCTCTACTGTTCCTCAAGCGATGTGATTATCATCAGCTTAGGAACACAAACATCCCTGATTCAGGTCACAGAGCTGCGGCTCCCCTCCCTCTGCACAATCACTGCAGGTAAATGAAGAAAACAGCAGTCCCTCCTTATTGGGTAGAGGTCACAGGCTAAGATGGTTTCCAGGATGGAAAAATCCTGAGCTGCGGGTTCAGCTCCACCACCCATGTACCTGTCTGTCCTTTCTTGAGGGGCAGGTAGCTGGAGGGCTGGGTCCCCAACATTCGGTGACTTCCTGGTTTTCTCAACTCAGAGGCTTAAAGGCCCGGGGAGGTGCTTTGTTGACCTGAAGACATGATGTTCCTTTTTATTTTTTTTCCGATTTTACAAATAAAGTCCTTTGGAGTAGGCAAGAGGGAGCACAGGGAGCAACTCTTCTGCGTGTAGGTATCACGTGCACACAAGCACACTTAGAGACGCCATCATTTTTAAAGTAACCTGTCCCCATGCGGTGAGACACAGATAGATGTCCAGAGCTTCTGTTTATGAATGCCGCCACACAACCGTTCCTTGCTAACTGTCCAGGTGTGTTAGTTTTCTGTAGCTGTTGTGATGAATTACATAAACCTCGTGGCTGAACACAGAAATTTATTCCCTCTTAGTTCTGGAGGTCAGTATCCAAAATGAGGACCCGGAGGCTGAAACCAGGGTGCCAGCAGAGTTACACTCCCTTCAGAAGCCCTGGGAAGAACTTATCTGGCCCCTTCCGGCTGCAGGGAGATGCCCACATGCTGCATTCCAACCTTCAGGTTTGTGGCAGTCTGGTGTTCCTCTCTGGATGTGTGAGGCCTCCCTCTCCTGAGAACACTTGAGATGTAGCTAGGATCCTGCAATGGTCCTCCCATCTCACGACCCTTCACTTCGTCCAGTCTGCAATGTACTTCTTTCCAAATTAAGTTACAATCCCAGGTTGCAGGTACAGGACCTATTGTCTTTGTGGCCTACCAGCTCCTGTACCGGGTAAGGCAGGTATAGCTCCCCATTCAGCAGAGGAGGAAGCTAACGTCCAGGGAAGCAAAGTGACTTGGTGTAAGAGAACTATATCAGCTGATGTTCTGTCATCTGTGCCAGTTGCTAAAATAACAAAACTCCCCAGGCTGGGAGGATAAATTATACTGTGTACCTGGGAGTGGGGTCATACAGACATGGGCACTGGACAGCAGCAAGCTGGGTGTGCTGCCGATGGTGTCGTCAGAGGGACTGAAGCAGGCCTCTTTGGTCAGGCCGTGTGGACCCCACTGAGAAGCAAACCGGGATCCTGGGTGGTAACAGCTATGACTAAGGGGTAGGTATGAGGACTGTAATATGGTGAAATTGAGTTCAAAATGTGACTTGGACTGGAACCACACCAAACAGAACACACCAACTTCGAAAGGTTGAAAAACTATTAGAAATTATTAGTGGAATTTAAGGAATGATTTGTGCCATGATCTAGATCACTTGGAAGGCAGCTGTATGGTAGACACTATCAAATTCACTGAAAGAAAATATTTTAAATTTTTGATTCATATACTAATTTCAGTTACCGGATTAAATTGCTAAAGGCTTTTAGCATTTGCTCTCATTCCTGACTCTTAAGGGCTCTTAGGCAGGGACACTTGGACTCCAGAGCAGGGGACTTCCAGAGGGGAAACACTTGCTGACCACATTGTCCAACTGGATCTGGAGCTTTCCCTGCGTCTGCTGGTTACTTTCAAGTGGCTAGATGGGCGCTCTAAGGCCTTTTAGTTTCCTGCCTCCTTCCACCATTCTGGAATCCACTATAACTGCAAAAGCCCTTTCTCTGCCTCTCAAGAGGATCTGACTGTGAGGTCAAGAGCTAGAGTCTGCTCTTGTTGACTATGGCTGACTTTGGCTGGCTCTGGGCCTGGCTGTCCATGGTTGACTGTTAGCTGAAGAACAGCATGAGCAAAACATCAGGGAACCTAAGAGACCATAAGCAACACCTCATTGTGCTACCCACGGGGTGGCTTCTTTCACAGTTCTGGTGACCAAATGCCTGAACTAAAGGTGCTGCATGACCAGACTCCTTCCAGAGAATGCTATTTTGCACCTCGCATCCCCTGTTCTCCCTGCATCTTTCCAATCTCTGCCTCTGTCTTCACATGATGTCGTCCCTCTGTGCGTCTGTAGTAAATTTCCTCTTTTGTCCTATAGACACTCTTCACTAGATTTAGGCTTCCTCTTAAATCCAGAAATATCCATTTCAAGATACTTTAATTAAATATACATAAATCCTACTTCCCAATCATGTCACATACTGAGGCTCTGTGTATAAGAGGAATTGTTTTTTTGGGGGGAGAGGGGGCACTCAAACTAACCTAGTACAAAAGTGTCATAATTGACACAAACTATGTGCGTGTGTAAAAGCTCTTTTTGTGCTTCTAGGTAAGTCTCCAAGTGATCCCACAAAAATCTCCTTGTGATTCACAGCTGTGATAAGACCCAATTATTTATATTAATGCTCAAATTTTGCTCTTCTCACCCCAAACTAGTCCAAGCCCACAGCTTTAGCAAGGATAGAATGGAGACCCAGGGGTGACCAAGTCTTGACAATGCCACAAGAACAGAAACAGACAAAAAAGAGGCAGTGGAGGTGAAGCAGAGGGGCTTGGGGGGAGGGCGCATAAGGATAAATTACTGTTTTAGCTGTACTGTTTTAGCTTATCCAAAGAGGGGCTAGAAGGTGTAAAAGAGAAAAAAAACAACAACAAACTAGTCAATCAGAGAAAATTCAGGGTCCTTGGAAAAGTGAGTTCCCTTCTGAGGATGTTTGCAGGGAATTGTTTGCCTTTTTGCTGTTAAAGGAAGGAGAGCTGCTCTCACTAGGCAAAAACCTTCCCAGACTGGTCCCTGAAAGCATCGTGCGTACAATGCCTGGTGGTTGCCATGGTGAATGATGCTGATCTGAAGAAATGAATAATGTGAGCGTTGGGGGCGACAGTGGGATTACTCATACAGTGGTGAGAAAGATATCAGGAGAGCCCAGAACCGAGGAAGGGAAAAGGCACCATCCCTTCGGCTCTGGTCCAGCCCGCCTCCGAGGGCTGCAGGCTAACCCTCTAACCGGATCCGCGCGAGGATCAGGTAAGGGACATAAGCGGCTCTTCCTGCAAATGGAAATGGCTTTTCCATTCACTCTCTGCTTGGAGGAGGGCCAGGCAGTGGCGATATGAACAAGCTAAAAATAGGGGGGATTCAGAAACAGGAGCAGAGGGAGAAAAATAAATAATGTGACTGCTGTGCTCCTATGCACTGAGGCTGCTGCTCGTGTGCTGGCAGAAAGCTGTTTTAAAAACACCTGCTGCAGAGACCCCAGTCTGCAAAGGCAGGCTGCAGCAGATTCCAGGCAAGTAGGAGGAAAATTTCATGACAAGAAACGGGATTCCACTCACTCCAGATGGAAGGTTTTACAGAGGCCGTTGCCTCACTATCATTAAGGAACGCATTCAGTTCTTTTTATTGAGGCTGGGCAGGTATTTCTAGGGATGTATGGGGTGCTGCGTGTGGTGGAAGGGTGTGGATGAGGAGCCCCACAGATGGAGTACACAGGGGATAATCAGACTCCATCTTCTTTGCAATGACCTCCCTAGAGGGACCTGAGCATGCTCATCTCCCTCTCCTTATTCTCTATTTTTCTGAAAAGAAATTTCCAGCCAAATGAAAAGGAACTAGTCCTTTTCCTGAACATTTTAGTTCACTGTAATTCTCAGAGAAGAAAAAACAGGATTGATAAATTACTCAATGCCATACACCTTCCTGCAGCTCAATTACTCCAGTGGGGCACAAAACATAAGGTTGGGGAAATGGGGTGAGATGGCAGCTTGCAATAGAAATCAGATTAGCTTGATATCCAATACCTGCTAAAATCGGAATTTTTTTTACTGTTTCTGAAATCTGTATTTTTACGTGAGACAGGAGGGACAGAGAAGGAAGCTGGGAGAAAACTACATGAGCACACACAGGAAAAACATGGCTGCCCCTGTATTTTATATCTGGCAAAATTTGGTGAAGGAGAATTCTCTCTTTCCCCAATACACAGAATTAAGGAAAAAATAAAACACTGGAAGCTGGCTCTCTCCTACCAAGTCAAGAGAGTTGGCTATCCAAAGAGGGCTTCCTGACTTGTCTGGAAAAAGAGCAACCCAATTCTGGTAGCAGACCTCATTCTGAAATAAAGTTCTATCGCTAAATCCAACAGCCTTGCATTTGGAAATCCAGCAATTAAACGGCTGTGAGTCTTCCTTCTACTTATAAGCTGACAGACCTCAGATTGCACATCTGTAAAGCGATAGCCCAAGGGGGGGGGAGTAAAGAATAAAGGGAACTGATAATTGTATGTTGAGCATCTGGAGCGACTGCTGGCTAACCGCTGGTGGCTATTACTGTTAATAACGCCCACTGCACATGCAGTATTAGTAGTAGTGCTAAGCTGCACTGGATGCTGACTGCCTTGACATGGTACCTTGTCTCTGAACTCAAAAGAACAAAACACGAGCAGAGGTTTCGAGAAGAAGTCAGCAGCCAGTAAGAGACAAAGCAAATCTCCTCTTGCCCTGAGCAACAGAATTGGGGGACTAGAAAAGAATGGGTAGAATGTTCTAGATGACTAGCTTGCAACACTTGGGGTAGAAGCTGAGGGATTTTAGGTGAAATGTCTGCCCACTCCGAGGTAAGACACAAATGTGGGCAACAACTAGGCAAACTATGCTGATTTCTTCCTCTCTTGCCTTTCTTCTCTTTCTTTGGTGGGTTGAGAACCATGTCATTGTGAAGGATCTGAGCCAGGGCAGAGGAGGCTGGGGAGGCGGGGGTGCTGTGGTGCATCTTCTTTTAGTTCTGAAGACTCACAACTGTGGGCTGAGACATCCCTGGTTTGAACTTCTGTTCTGCCATTTCTTAGTGATGTTCTCAGGAACATCAGCTCTTTGCGCTCTGCTTCTGTGACTATAAAATGGGGCATGGTGGGTCCCATGTGGAAACTCAGTGCATAGTGGCGGTGGGTGCGGGAAATCCATGCTAAAGGTGGGGATGTCACTGTTGGCTTTGATTCTGGTTCCAGAATCAGGATGAACATCGAGGTGGGGAACGTCTCCTATACAGGTGCCATTGTTTCCTGGTCATCCTCGGAGCCCTGCCTGGAGGACTATTACCATATTATGTACAGACCCAATTGGAACAGCATCTTCTCTGGCTATCTTCGCTACAGCTTCCACCACGAGGAGAAGGTACCCCGAACCATCAGCTCCGTGGTGCTGGAACACCTGGCCCCCTCCACCCTCTACTTCCTGTGCATTAGCTGCAAGAAGGCCGCTTCCCCCTACCGGCACTACTGCACCATGTTCCACACCCTGGATAAGAGTCCGCTGGCGGCGGGGAGCTCCCTGGTGGACCCCCAGATCTCCCTCTGGGTGCTGATGGCCATTCTGCTGGCCTGTTTCACTGCAGTCCTGGCCTTCATCTGCCTCCAGTTCTGGTGTGTGCGCTGCCATGAGCCCCGCTGGTCCTACCGGGCCGGCCACATGGAGGAAGCCAATGGGCTGGTGAGATGGCCCGAGGAGGCCCCAGGTCTGGGTCAGCGGGAGGATGACCAGTATGGCTTTCCCCTGGTAGAACTGCCTCGCAAGTGCTCCGGTGCTGGACGGGACGCGGATGAGGATGCGGAAGTTGACCAGGAAGCCAACCAAGAAGCATTTCCGGTGGGCGCCTCGCAGAGGGAGGCTGGTGACCAGCTAGCTATACTGCCTCACTTTGGGAAGTGAGAAGTGAGTAAGAGCTCCTGTCGTGGAGCTTAAAGTCCGCTACAGTAGGTCTCCTGTGAAATTGTGTCTGTACAACAGCCATTTCTCCCACTCAGTGTCTGCGCTTTTGGGGACCTCCCTCAAGGTTGTACGAATGCTCCGGACCAAGCTGCTGGAAAACAGTTCTCCTCCCAACCATGGCATACCTCAGGAGAAGGAGCTTCTCCAGGGAGCACCCAGTTCAGAGTTAAAATTCTGACTTTAATATGAAAATAAATATGATCCAGGGTAGCTTAGGAAGTGCAATTTGCATGACTTAAAAGAAAACACACGAACTGGAGGAAACGCGGAGGTGAAGATAGGTTCTCAGTGTGCTGTCACCACAAGCAGACAGATGCCTGACCTCTTGTGCTGGGGGAGGGTCGGTTGTGTTGGAAAGGGGAAGGCAGTTTTGTTCTAGAGCATTCTCCACCTTTGAGGCAATCACACCACCTTGTACCACATCTTGTTTTTAAATGGGGTCAATGGTGGTCATCTTTATTCCATCACACACACGAATGTTCGCTGTGTTGTATTGTTGACACATTTCTCCTTCCAGTGGTGTTTTAGTTCTAGAAACCCCAAGGTGAGAGAAAATCTCCTTCCTCATTGTGGTTTGGACTTTGTAAATGTCCTCTCTCTATGTAGGCACAGACATGCACACAGGACAACAGAGAAGATGTCTGATGTATCCCCAGCATGGAGACCTCCTCCCAGCATCCAGTTTAGAGTGGGTGCTTAATCTGGGTCTGTGAATGAATGGCGAGGGGAGAAAGGTCGGGAGAAGGGGACCACGTGTCAGGTTTTATGAGTGCTGGATGTGTGAGTAACAAAGCAGCAGAAATTGGGTCAGCCTCGTGTCTCGGCTGGACCCCATTGTCTGGGAGTTCCTTCAACGCTCCACTTCCTGCCTGCACACCCTTTAGTGTGGGGGCTGTCAAGCCCCCAAATCACAGGACAGTACACTATGGACCAACCAAAGAATGCAAGAAGGGTGGCCAGCAACGAGAAGATCGATACCCCTCCCCCTGTTCACCTCAGCAGATTCCCCCATCAAGACCATGCCCCTAAGTCTGTGCTCCCCACCCCTGCTAGTTGTCAGCAAATAAAGGTGAATATACTCTCACTGTTTCCCCCGGGTCTCGCTGCTGCTGTTCCACGCCCACACTGTTTGGCTTTTCTGGATTAGGAGACACTTTTCTATTTTCTTTTGTTCACTAGCATCTCAGAAGTGGGACATGGGTAGGTGGCTTACCTTGGAACCGTAGAGGTAATAAGGCTGGACGTTGGCGGGTTTATCTCTTTGTGGTTCTTGGGTGAAGGGAATGGCCGTTCGGACAAAACTAGCAGAAGAAAAATAGGGGTGAGAGTTAACCCAGTCCTGATGCTGTTATTCACGGGACATGGTGGGGGACCTCTTATGGCCAAGTACAATGACAGTTTCTTAGCTAGTGGCCTTCAAACTCTCCTGGGACACTCCCTCTCAACTCCTTTCTAGAGAGGGGAAGTCAGCCCCCCCCCCCCAACCACAGGCTCTGTGCAGGGCTGATGTCTCATTGCCATGTGCAATGAGGGGGGTTCTGGGAAGAAGAGAAGGCATGGCAGCAGGCTGGGCCTGGAGATGGCCTCCAGGGCTTCCACTCACTTGCTTTCTCGGGGGCAGGGTTCCCCAGACTCTTGTATAAAGGCCCAGATAGCAAATATCCTCAGCTCTGCCAGCCAGATGGGCTCTGTCACCATGGCTCAGCCCTGCTGTCAGCATTGCAAATGCCACAAACACCAGTAAATTCTGGAGTATGGCTGAGTTCCAGTGAAAGCTTATGCGTTTCACATAAGTTTCACTTTTTACCAAATTATGATTCTTCTTTGGATTTCTTTCTCCCTGACCATTTAGAAGCATTCACACCATTCGTAGCTTATGGGCTGGACAAAAGCACATGGCAATGAGACATTGCTTATGGGTCACAGCTCATCCACCCTAACGAAGACTGCTAACAACTCCCAATCCTTAGCGAGCAGGGGTTCATCATGCTAAGTGTGTAGGTTCGAGCACATCTACGGATTCTTCCCAGAGCCTCCCATGCACTCAGCAGGCACCTATTTAAAGTGACCCCGAGGTCACCAGGAGGACCTGGGAATACACCCAGATGTGTGCATGCTTGTGTGCCTGCTTGAACTTGAACACCTGCCTCACCCCTTCCTGCAGGTTTCCAGCCTCCGTGCCTCTCTCTGTCTTGGTTGTCACCATGCAGGTGTTCAGCCTGGTTTGCACACATGTGTTCACATATGTGGATGTCCTGTACAGGTGCCACCAGATCATGCCACCTCCTTCCTCCCACCCTTTCAGGCCCATGAGGGCTCCATCTGACCACGGTGTCTGCACCCTCTTGTGATCTGCCCTAGCTCCTGTGGTAATGTTCCCACCCTGCTTTCTCCATCCATGCCACCTCCTTAGAAACGTTGCCTGGAACTCTCTTCTACAGCCTTCGCACTTTATTACTGCTTATTCTCTGCATCTCAACCCCAGCACCCTTGCCCAGGGGCGAGAGCCTCTCCCATTGTTCTCTGGGCTCCACAGGTTGGCTGCCCTTTTATCTTCCAGCCCTGGGCCTTCCCCCCATCAGCAGTCCACTGTCTGTACCATATTCTGTGACTGTTTGATCCTCTGCGTCCTCCTGTGGCCTGAAGGCTTCAAAGGGGCAGGCAGGGAAAGCTCCTCACCTGCACCTCCACCTCCACCCAGGGCAAGTGTCTGGATGCCATAACCCAGCCCTCCCCAATCCCCTGGCCCAAGAACCCCCTTACCGGTTGGTGGAGCCATTGTAGCAGTAGTTGGGGAGGAAGTCAAAGTTTAGCTCCCAGAAGACGTGCAGGGTTATGCGGCCGTAGGGGGCAGACACATTGTGGTTGGCCTCGCGGAACATGGCATCGAAGCTGTCCAGGGTCAGATGTTTGCACAGCAGCCGGTGCGTGAGTCGGTTGATCTCCAGCAACCACTCCAGCTCCTGCCCAGGGAGAGATGATGCTGCTGAGGTTTCCCGGCACCACTTCATCCACCAGGCCTTTCCCATAGGCCACAGCCCCTCGCCTGCTTCCTGAGTGCCCACAGTACCCCCAACTGTGACCAGAACCCTCGTCCCCAAGGCTTGGACCCATGTGACCTTCAGAGAAGTGGAAGGAGCTGGTGGTGGTGCTGAGGGTGCTGCATGGCCACAGGCCATGTGCAGGGCCCATTTGCATTCCTTAGGGTAAAGGGCAGGCCTGCTCACCTGCCAGTCTCCATACAGGGAGGAACCAGCTTGTCCTTCAGTCACAAGGCTGTCACCAGAGAGGGTGTTTGCCCTGCAAAGGACAGCTGGAGAAGCTGCCAGCAACCACCTGCTAGCTATGAGGTCAGACCAGAGAAAACGTCTTTTAGAGCATAACCATCAAATACTAGTGCTTTTGTAGGTCCACCTTAATTGTGCCAGCAGTAACCGTAGCAGATAATCCTTGCACAGATTAATGTCCCAAACTCCCCCACCACACTCCACCCTCAGGCCCACATCACTGCCATCCTTCTTTTACAAACACAGGAGCCCATCAAGATTTGAGACAGTAATTTGGCTTCAAAGGCCAGGGCTCCCGAGCTCACATCCTTCCCCACCATATACATAACACCTGCACATGACATGTGCTCGGAAGTGTAAAATCAGCTGGGGCAGAACACCCCCTCCTTGGCCCTGGTCACTGGAACCCCACCTCCAGCAGCACGGGAGCACAATCATCTTATCTGGAACAGCAGACCCTGGAGTTTGCCAGGGAGGGATCATGAAACTCTTCAGTCTCGATTTATTATCCTGCTGCTTCCCAATTACTGCCTTCTATAAGAATCGAGGTACAGTCCAGTGCAGAGAGGAGGCATCTGCTTTGTGATGTTCTGGAACACCCCCAATTGCTTTGGTTAAGCCATCTGCGCCATCTCACAGAGGGAAACTGAGGTTCAAGGGTTAAGGAACTGATCTAGGTCACACAAGGACTGTGGCTCTGCGCTTAGCAGGTAAATTCAGCGCTTCTGGCTCCCAGCATGTGTGTCTGGCCCCAGGGTGCACTGTCCAGAATAAAGAAGCAATTGGTAAGAAATCCTTGGAAAAGAAAGGTTGGTTTTAAAAAACATAAAAACTAAAAGAAGTTTGCAAGGTGGTTCCCCCAGAGCAGGGCCGGCTTAGAGGGTGGGGCCTGGCCTCAGTGTAGGTCACAGGAGGCAGCCCCACTGTGGGGGGGGGGGGTTCAGCTTGTTCTCATCAACTGACTCAGCCAGGCTGTGATCTGATGGAGGCCCCAGGCCAGGCTTCCATTTTGGAGTTCTACCTCTGACACTGGATTCTGGCGATGTAGGTAGGGTGAAATCTGGATTCCAGCTCTGGAGGCACAGTGAAGAACACGTTTTCCAGTGCTACAGAGGGAGGGCAGAGATAACAATCTACTTTCCACAGGTTTCTGGGGCCTGCTTGGCTGTATGTCTGGTCCCATTAGGATGAACAAGAAAATAAATGAAATAAAAAGTAAGTGTAGTCAAAAACAGGGGTGGGGGGGAGAGAAATGCATGGGATTATGGTGATGGCACACGGGTGATTTGGTGATGGGAAACCCGTGGGGATTACAATCGAGATGGAAAAAAAAAATGTACAAAATGATGTAAAAATAAACTTTTGTAATAAAAAAAAAAGTAAGTGTAGTAAGCACTAGTGAATTGATAGTTCTAAAATTGCTGAACCATTGGCATTGAGGAGAAAACTGCTGCTGGGAACCTCTCATCTTCCATGGCTGAGTCTTACAGACATGCATCTCCTTCACAAGGGAGACTGAGGCAGCATTCTTGTGTCTGCTGATGAGGGGCTGCTGGGAACTAACCCACTTCTGCCACAACAATATGAGGTCTTTGTTGGGCCATCAGTGGACATGGGGCTCAGTGTTTGAAATCCCTTGGAGTGGGGGTCAGAGGCCTCCTGAGTGCTTTCTATAAAACTGGTTTACCAAGGGGCCACAGAGGAAAGAAGAACTAGTGCCATAAAACACCCCAGTGGGCCATTTCTGTGCTGTGTGGGAAGGTCATTCCTCTGGCATTCCATGAGTGCACCATACTCTAGCCATCTCTGTGGCCAGAGCAGCATAAGAGTGGGGAGCACCAGGGGGTTCTGAGGAAAACATCTAGCCATTGCTTAGCAATTGCTGGCACCTGGGAAGGACAACCTGAGGCTTCCAGATCTGCTATGGTTTTGCTCAAATTCTCCCAAATGTTAAATGTTGGCTCAGAATTTTGACTGCGCTCTGTAGCCTAAACAAAACACAGCAGGCTGCCAGTTCTTAGCTTCAGCACGGATCTCTTGGGCCTGGGGTTGCTGGGCAGGATAAAATGAGGATGAGCTCTCTCAGGTGGAGGCACAGGTGAGGGGGCACATTCTTTGCTGTGCTTTTGGAAGATGCAGAAGCTTCTCAGCTGAAAGGAGTGGGGGCCTCCTGATACTGCCCCCCTTCCCAGGAGGGCAGTATCTTCTTCAAGGTCTTTACCGGAAAAGGCTGCTCTCCTGGGGTTGAGCTCACCTGATAAACACACTCTCACTATTTGTTTTGATTTTGTTCCCAGCTAAAGAACATCCAGTGTCTTCCGAGGGGTGGGAAGAGGTCATGGACACCCCCGCATACCCCAAGCCAGCTTTTCCATAAGAAATCCCCAATGCTAGTAAATGAGAAGATTTAGCAAAAACCAAACAAAGAAGAAAACAAAAATCCTCCCACTTGGAGAGAGTCACTCCTAACATTCTGGTATAAACAAAGAAACATCTATTTCTTTCTTTTTTTTTTTTTGAAACATCTATTTATGATAGATTTCCCAGGAGACTGTGTGCTGTGTTTATTCATCTCTGAATGTAAGGGGCCCAGGTCTTTGATGGGCTGCTACATCAAGTTCTCTTAGAAAATGCTGCTGGACCTTCACTGAGAATTCGTTGCTGCCCCAAGTTTCTAGATTCTTCTCTTCTTTTCTCCATAAGCTCTTATTTATGAAGCGCAGAGTGATGTATACAAAGCTCTTTCCAAGTAATCCCCCTTTGCCCTACAGTTGAGGGGGATACTAAAATGCCTCCTTCCACAGATGAGGGAACGTTGTGGAGATGTGTCACTGGGCTGAGGTCTCCCAGCTGGTCAGCAGGGCCAGGGTGGACTTTGGGTCCACTGATGCTAGAATCTGAGTTCTTAGTCACTGTATTTTTATCACTTTGTCCACTTAAACAACAACAGCAGCAACATCTTTTGTACTTTAGTAGCTTTAAACTTACAAAACAGCTGCAGAAACAGCAGAGGTCCTGCCTGTCCATGGCCCAGGCTTCCCCGTGCGATTTGCATAACCAGAGCACCATCAAAAGTAGGAAACTGACAATGTTGACACAACACCGTTAACTCCACAACAGACCTCACTCTGATTTTTCCAATTTTTCCATGAAGGACTTTCTTTTATCCAGAATTCAATCTAGGACCTACAGCGTCTTTAGTTCTCCTATCTCTTCCTGAGACAGTCCAGGTAAAAGACATTGTGAGCCATAGGACAAAAACTGCCCAAGTCCTGTTTGAACAGATGGGCTAAACCATGGACTGGCGAGCCCTGTCCAAACAATTTAGCCACCGTACTGGCCATGAGGTGCCACGCTAGACAAAAAGCTTTTAGATCCTCACTAATCACTAGTGATTAGAAAGTGATTATCTCACTTTCTGGAGGGAGAAGGCAGAAACCCACATGGGTAGTAGGATGTAACCATCCACACATGCCCAGGTGTGCCCTGGCCCAGAACAAATTAGATGCTGCTCTCCTCCCCACCTAGAGGAACATACCCTATGAATGTCTCTTCCTAACTCCCCTGCAGGGGCCAGGCTATATTATATTAGCCTTTCCTGTGCTGACTCCATCATGCGTGAGTCTCTAATGAAGCCTTGTCCGATTCAGGTAAACCCAGTACTCTCTGGCAAATTCTTTCCTAGAGGACAAAAGACCTACTCTTTTGGGTGGGAGCTATATAGCTCATCTTCTCCAATCTCGGACAGTTTCAAGTTTTTTATGATTATGATGCTTTTGAAAAACACAGTTCACTTTATTTAAGTGCATTTCAGTGTGGGCTTATTTCTTGGGAGTAGATTTAGAGTATGCTTTTTTGACTAGAATACACAAATCTGGGGACACATGAACATACATGGGGATATTGTATCACTGGTGACACTGACCTAGGTTACTACTCTTCTCTCTGAAGTTAACAAATATTATGAAGGAGATCCTTTTACTTCTCAAATATTGATGTTGCAAATATTCTGTCCTCAAATAATAATGTATGTAATGCCCTGTTGCTTCTCAAAGGATTTGTAAGTAATTTTTTTATTGTGGGAAAACATGCATAACATAAAATTTACAATTTTAGTCACTCTTGAATGTCTAGCTCTCTGTCATGAAATCATTCACAAAGTTGTGCACCATCACCACCATCCACCATCCACCCACCTCCTCCAGGATTTCTTAATCTGGTTTCTCAACAGAGACACTGTTGCCTACGAAACACTAAGTGCCTCTTGGCTAAGAAACACTGTGCCACCTCCTGTCTCCATGACATGTCAAATCCTGGAATTTCATAGTAAGAGGCATCATCAAGCAAAGTTCTTCCCACACATCTGTCCCCATTGCTGTTGCAGCAATGACTGAAGTGTCCAGTGGTGACTTTCTACTGTCCTCCTTCCTTCTACTCATCTGCATTTAAAAGCATTAACATTTTCCTTTGATTCATTTGAAAGCCGTCATGTTAAGTCTCTAACTCTCAGAGAGAACCAGCAGAAAGCAGTTCACACTGCAGTTGTGGAAAAAGGAGTGTGTGCACTCATTCTACCTGTCCTAGTGGGAAATGGAAACCTGGCACCTTTTGTTAAAAATTATTTAGAATTTCAAGATGGTGATAGCTGAACGGTAAACCAAGCTCAGCGCCCCGTGGACACTGTCTAGCGCATGCCCACGAAGCCCACCTACGGTGCCATCTTCCCCAGCTCCCCAGGACCACCCACCAACCTACTTACTGGGGTCTACAGAATCCCAAAGCAGCAGCCAGGTCAGGGTTGGTCACCTCTAGAGCTTTCAATAAAAACTTTCCAGGCAATGCAAGTGTATAATTAGCCTCTTTTTGTTCCGGCCCTACTCAGATGGGAAAAACCCATTGGAGCCCCCAGCTCGGCCTCCACTCTGGATGCTGAAGACTCCGAGAGTGGTGTGCCCTGCCACAGTCTCTTACCACGATGGAGGTCAGGTCCTCACTCTCGAAGCGGCTGATGGCCTGGTCCAAGGATTTGTACATGGCGGCAGAGATGCGCTGGGTGATGAGTCTGTTCAGGTCAATCGATCGACCCAAGAGCTGGAGGGGAGAGAATGAGAAGTCGTGAGAGATTTGCAACTTCACCTGACAACCAGATACAGCTGGCACACACAGACACCATCAGTCTTAGGTGACAAATGGAATCCACTAGAAAATGATTGCATTTCCAGTATGATTATTGTCTTAAGAGTGAATGTCCTTGTTCTTAGAAGACACAAGCTGATGTCATGATGTCTCTAATTTACGCCCAAATGGCTAAGAGAAAAAGTATGTGTTTAAAAATGCTATATTTAAAACTATATGTATAGATAAGCACATCTTACCATAAAATATATATATATATATACCATAAATGCACATTTATAGTTTAATGAATATATTTATTTGCTGTATTTATGAAGGAGAAAAAAACATGCAAGAGAAAGCAAAGGTGCTATAATAGTAATAATCACAAATCTGTCCATACAGTATGTATGTGTTCACTGTGTCATTCTTTCGACTACTCAGTCATCTTGAGCTATTCAAAGGTGAGGAAGAATATGAGTCAACTCCACATAGAGGAACTTAGCTCTGAAGTTTACCCTGCATCTGTCCTGTGCCCAATTCAGTCACAGGGAGTAGCAGTCTCAGCAAGGGCCCACCATGTGCCTTTATGGGGGAGAAAAGTAAATGCAAGAGTACAGGACAGAAAATTGGGTACAAGACAGGAAATCAAGCTATGAAACCTCCTCTGGAGGGCTGTGGGCATTATCTCGATGCCAGGCAGACAGCAAAACACATTTATTGAGCATCTTTGCTGGGGGAAGAGTCCAAGCATTATTCTTCACTTATTTTTTTACTTCCTTTGGAGAAAATTTTCAGACAACAGACTGGGGCCCCTACAGCCATCTGGTGCACACACACAAAGCACTCCAGCTTCAACATCCTGATTCTGACTGTTTCATGACTGAGCAAACTTCTGACAGGTTTGAGGAACTGGGGAGTCGCTGCTGTTGGCAGAGGTAGAGATGTTCTTTGTCCTCTTACAATTTTCTGCTCTCCCTGGAATTCTCAGAGCAATGTGCATGGAAGGTTTCCAGGGCAACCCTTTCTCTCTGCCCAGCTACAGCCCTGCCCCCCACCCTCCAGTGCTCTCCACAAATACATGATAAGCACACAGAAGCCACAGAACCACATGAGGCTATTTCACTAACGCCCCATGGACAGTGGAGTGCAGGCGTGGGGCATGGACTCTGCCAGCGCACCTTACCTTTTCTGCTGGGCTCACACTCCCATTTTATTTTTTATTACATTTTTTAAAGATTTATTTACTTATGCATACAGGAACTGGGTACAGGCAGAAGTGGGAGGGCGAGAGGGTTCACCAGACACAGTGGGGAGCAGAACAGGCAGATGTGCTGAAAGATGTGCTGAAATACACTGCCAAGGGGAGCAGCAGGGGAGACAGAAGAGGTCTGCTGTGCCATGTGGGTCACCTCCCTGGCCGGGGGTCGAACTCGTGCTGCAGTGGCTGTGGACCGTTTCATAGTGCTACAGCTTTAACCCACTGCACCACTAAGGAGGGCCCACACGCACATTTAAAACAAATTTTTATATATATTTGTGTGTGTGTGTGTATACATATTTACATTATTCTTCATTTTGTACATTTTTTTACATCTCAGTTGTAATCCCCATGGACTTCCCACCACTTCACCCCTGTGTCATCACCGTCGTCCCAAGTGCTCTTCCCACCGCAGTTTTGATCCTGTTCCCTTTTCCTCCCCATAGAATGTCTCTGGTTTATAGTTGTCAGCCACTGGGTTTAGCCTGACACATTCATTCAAAGGCCCATGGTCCCTCACCGGGACCAGCACTAGGGCCTGCCAGGCTCAGGACAAATTTACCCTTTGCCCAGAGGCAGTCATCACTGAGCTGGGGGTGGGGACAAAGACTTTGGGGGCTGCCGCAGGCAGAGGCGAGCTGCTGACAGGCTGAGAAGCATAGACCCCGAAGCAAAGGAAGCCAAGGAAGCCATTAGCTCGTTTGCAAGAATCGGAAGCTGTGGCACACCCATGCTCAACAGCCAGTCTGGCCAGAGCCCGGCAGGCCGTAGTGCAAGCCCCCCGCTGGGTGTCCCCACAGAGCCGCCCCCACCTCCCTGGTGCCCAGTCTGCTCTCCCGCTCTCCCTCTCGTACCTGCACGTGCCTCTGCTTCAACAGCGTTTCATAGCGGTTGGATGGCGGGTACGGAATGATGACCCCGTAGTTCTTACATTCAGCTCGGAAACGTTTATCCAACAGCACGCTGGATAAAGTAAAAGCAGGCCAGTAAACAAGACTGTGACGGCGTCTCAATGGCCCAGCCACTCTGGTTCGGCCATAGGGTCTACACAAAGCACTATCTTATGTATTTTAAATATGCATAATTTTTTCTGCTCTAGATCAAAGTTTTTGAATTTTCCTTCTCCATCGAAGTTCAATATGTGAAATGGAGCTTGTAGTTAACAAGACGTGACACGGAGGCTAAGCCACTTTCCTTCACTCAATCACCAAGAATGAGTGGAGTACTTGGTCTATCCCAGGAAATCCCTGGCACTAGGGAAGCCAACTTTCTACCCCTGTGGGGCTGGGGTTCTAGTAAATAGAGACTAATAGGGAATAAAAGGCAGAGGAATCGGTTAACTTCAGACAACAGGAAACATCTGTGCTGTTCACTATTTCTCAGGCATGAACACACACATCTTTAATCTCGCAGCAACCCTATGAGTTTATGTGTCCTTATTGTCTTTCACACTGAGGTCAGGACTGCAGGTAACTATACTCTGACAAGAATGAAACAGACCATTTGACAAGTCAGGGAAAGCCTCTCTGCAGACGCTGTTTGGGACAGAGACCTAACAGCCGAAATGGATAGATCTGGGGGAGGAATCTCACAGTGTGTTTGGGAGCAGGAAAGATGGCCAGAGTAGAATGGCTTAGGGCCTGCTGGAGAGAGCTCGGGGCAGAGGTGAATTTGTAAGGTCAGTCTAAGGCCAGATCATGCAGAACCACATAAGCCGAATATGCAGGTGTATGTTTTCTGGGTGTATTGCAAACTACTGAAAGGTTTTAAGCTGGAAGGTAATGCAATCTAAATCTTCTGTCCACTGTTCCTGCCACCACCACCTGAGGCTCCCAAGCACCTGAAATGTGAAGTCCAAGTCCAGCTGTGTGTGTAAGAGCATAAGATACACACTAGATCTTAGACTTAGGGACAGACAATAACAACTATCTCTTTAATGATGTTTATCTTGACTAACCGTTAAAATTATAATATTTTTGATATACATAATTATATAAAAAGCGTTATAGGATTATATAAAAAGCATTATTAAAGTTAATTTCACTGGCTTACTTCTCCTTTTTAAAATACAGTTGTTGAAATTTTTAAATGGTACATCAGCCTGCACTTACGATGGCTGGTTTTCCAATTGGGCAGGACTGATCCAGATGATTCTCCCCACCTAGGCCCCTTATCCAGTTAAAGCAGGTCCCTGTGGTATTTTTGAAACCATTCCATGTGGGCATCAGTCCTGGGGTAGAGGTCTACAAGTCACATGACAGGGCCTGCTGACCTCACCAGCTTTATCATGTGACCTGCATGTACTAATCCACACCTGCCCTCTCAATAGCCCTTTGACACAAACATGCTATCATTACACAGGCATGTACACACATGCAATTTATACACACTCATGCTCTATATGCAAACAGGTATATACATCTGTGTAAATATACCATACATATTTTATTATCTGCCACAGGACCTTTGCATGTGTAGTCCTTCTTGCCTGTTACTTCCTGTACCCTCATTCACCTCATTTTAATAACACTTAGTGACTTCATTTTAATAACCTCATTTTAATGACCTCATTTTAATAACACTTAGTGACTTCAGATATGAAGTCAATGCTGTGTTCTCAGGATGGCCTTTCTAGTCACTACCCCAAACACTGGTTGGGGTTCAACTCCCATATTCACTCAGAGAGCGCACATGTGATGGCCTTGTCATGGTGCAGTCATTACTTCTCCCTGACGTTTGTCTCCCTGCTAGGCTGTCAGCTAAAAGGCTCAGCACCACAGCTACCTCTTCACTGTCTCCAGTATCCCTGCACACAGTCCAGGCCATGACTGGGCTCAGATTTCTGAGCCAGGAGCTGAAGAGAAAGGGAGGGTTTGCAACAGGAAGCTCTGCACACACCAGTCTTGGGATGGTCTGGCACTCCCAGCCCAGGGCTCTCATACCTGCCGGCCATGGCCTTGTAGTAAGCAAAGATCTGGTCCGCCAGCTTGTAGACAAACTGATCAAAACACAGGTTCACCTGGTGGAGAGGAAGTGAAACATTTTAGTGGCATCTATTCAGCTCTTTCTCGGAAGCTCAGGTAAAGGAGCAAGGGTAGTGAGCAGTGTGCCTGGAGCTCGGGGGCAGGACTCAAAAAGAAACAAGATTCTATAGCCAAGCAGCTTCGGGAAGTCTAGTCCCTCACTTTCAAGTTGCTCACCGAGGTAGAGAAGGCCAAATTCACACAGCTGTTGAACAGCTGCCCTCCCCACAACCCTCCAAGCTGTCCTGGGGGCCTGCCCAGGGGAAGGCTACATACAGCTTAGACCTTGACCTCAGCCTCCCTGGCACTACTCATGATAGCCACAGATGTTTTCCTTCCACTGCATTTCACCTTCTCTGCCAATAACCAAGTAGATGGTCATTAGACAGGTAAACAATTCCTTTTCCAAACTGCTTAAATAGCTTTGGTTTTAAAAGAACATGGGATAGTCCTGCCCTTTCAAGGTTTCATCACATCGGTGGCAGGCTGTGATGCTCAGATGTAGGGGAGGCAAAACCCTACAAAGCTCCCAAATATGTCTTTGTGGTAAAATTTGCAGGTAGGGGCGAGATTGTTGTTGAAAACACTATTTACATGTATACTTCTATAAAGGTGTGTGCTGGGAAAACCTTTTCCTTTTCTTTTCAATGGAGAAGACAGAAATGAATCTACATACCTTTGTCTACTGTGCCTTCCCTGGTCACCTCCCTCTCCTCCCCCAGAGAAGTCCTTCTGTCTTAGCTCAGCTATTTAAGATGGTGCCTGAAGACACGTGGGCTAGTTCCTCAATCCTGCTGGGCCTTCAGGGTACACAGGAGGTGTGCACGTTGTATTAAACCTATATTTTGGCTTTTTTCCACTTATTAATCTCTCTGGTGCTTGATTATTTGCCAGCCTAGGAGAACCCAGAGGAATGCAGGTGATTTCCTTTGTGCCCCAATAAGAAACAGACAAATCAAACTAGATCCCCCAAGGATGGCAGGAATGGTTGCAGGTGAGCGGAGGTTAAAGGGTTGAAGAGAGGGCTCTAAAAAGACAGGCTGTGCTTAGAATCAGGCACCAGAGTGACTTTGAAGGAAACCATGTAGTTAGGTGGTTAATCCTCAAGTCTTACCTCATAATTTTTCTGCTCTCTAAGGTTAACCCTTCATCCAAAGAGCTTTCCTATCTGCTTTCTACCCTACTTGTTATTCTGAACACAAAAGCAGTGCTGTCTTCACATGCAGCTAACTGAGGCATCTATGCTGGAGACTGTTACCAGGGTCCCCACTGTACCCTCCTCCAGACAAATGTTCTGCAGGGTCCAAGAGTCTCCTCAGACTCCATGTTCCTCTTCTAGAACCAGCCTTGAGTCTCCCTCCCAGTCCCATTGTGGGTCTGTGTGCCTGGGTTCATCTTGAGGAGGGACTACACTGCAGCTGTGTATACCTTTGGGCCTCGGGGTCAGCCAAGGTGCCACTTTTGTGGCAGGGGCAGGAGACAAAGCGTGGGCATTCGTATATGAACACACATTCTCTCTCTCTCTCTCTCTGTCTCTCACACACACACACACACACACACACACATGCACATATGCACGCACACATTTCACAGTGCAGAAAGGAATTTGGGGGTGGGGAGAGACAAGAGGCCAACCATTAGCTGGGGTCTCAATCGGTACCTCTCACCCTTGAATGTTACAAAGGATTTATTTAGAACTATCACTTGGCCACGTGTCACTGGCAAATTGTGTGTGTGTGTGTGCCTATTGGAGAACATGACAACATCTTGTTAAAAGGGAGATGCAAGCAGCTGGCTGGACTCCTGGCACTTCTTCCCGAGGCTGGTGCTGCTCAGGAGACAGAAGGGCAGATTGGCAGTGGCATGCATCAAGGTTTTCAACCCTCCTAGAAATCAGGGGATTCAGAAAGAAAAGCAGTATCTCTACTGGGTTTTCTTCAAAATACACAAACTTTCCAACAAACTTGGTGTTGATGCAACCCTAACATAATCATGTCCCTCTTGTATGTTTGTACAAATGTACTTAATTGGCTTCGTTCTGTGTTCAAACAGCACCACGCTGTTAAGCAGGGCAGAGACTAGCATCCCAGTCGCCAAGAGGCAAAGTGGGTATTTCAGAGCCATCACTGCGAGGTGCATGGGCTTAGTACTTGTGGGCCCATGGAAAGATTGTAACTTCTTTGTACCTCTTAAAAGGAGCCAGGTAACTTGTTTTGACTAATGCTGTGTGGCACCAGGTGGAAGCTGGAAGTTTGAGAATGTGACTCACCCTGAAGTGCCATGGCAACAGGTGAAAGTTCTGGATGGGTCCCAAACTGGAGCCTGGTGGAACACTGCCCATACAAACCCACCATGAAGAAATCAACCTTTGCCCACCAAACCTCTCTGAATGTGGAGTCTTTGTTTCTGCAGTATGACCTGTCTCACCCAGTCTATGCTGTTGATCCCCCATGTTATGGTCTGAATGTCTGTGTCTCCCCCTAATTCATTTGTTGAGATTCTAACCCAGCACATGACGGTTTTGGATGGTGTGGCTTTTGGGAAATGACAAGGTTGTGAGGGTGAAGGCTTCATAAATGAGGTCAGTCCTCAGAAAAGAGACCTCAGAGGGCTTCCTCTGGCCCTTCTGCCCTGGGAGGACACCCCAAGATGACTGCAACTGTCAGGGCACCCTTACCTGACCACCGTGGCTCAGATCTGCAACCTCTAAAACCCTTACCTGACCACCGTGGCTCAGATCTGCAAACTCTAAAACTGTGAGTAAAGCATTGCTCTCATATCCAAGACTCCCGCAGTCTGAGGTGTTTGTGACAGCAGCCAGAACAGACTAATACACCCCACTTTGTGTCAAGACCTAAAGACAGGACAAGTCCAGACTCTTGGTACAAGATTGGGACCAGATGTGAAGCACATCACTTGCCTCTGCTTCTATCTCATCGTACAGAAACTGCTTCTTGAACTTAGTCAGGGCATAGTAGGCGCTGTCGTTGTACAGATCCAGAGGGTAGAGCACGTACCTGCAGGGGAAAAGCAATGATACCAGCTTACCATGACCTCTGCAGGGACATGGAGATGGGGTGCGCAGGTGAGCAAGCCCAGGGCTGGGAGGCGAGAGTTCTCCTGCCTCGACTAGGCATATCCGACCTCACATGAAGTCAGGAAATCAATAGTCCACGATTCCCCATAAATCCATAAAATTAGACTGGGGATAAAAGAAACCAGCTCCACGACCCCCAGAGATGACGTTCTTTTCCCAGTCTGGCTGGCATGGAACAGACACAACCTAGTAAGTTCAATGGGGCTGATGGACTTCAGATCCCATCTGCAAGGCTGAAAGGAACCAGGGGTGATCTGATTCTTGACCTGCACTCTATCCCTGTGGGGGTATGGAGCCTCATACAGAACATTCTGGAAAGAACAGAGCTCATATGCAAACTATCCCCCATCTGCATTCTGGGAACCTGTGACCCAATCCTGCCTCTTACTCCATCATAGAAGGTTCTTTGGTTTCCAGGATGTGATCAGTTAGAATCCACGGCATGGACATCTCAATGGGGAACTGGATCCTTCGGCCCATGGTTAATTCCAGGAAGAATTCTCGGAACCAGAGCTGGGAGAGGTCACAACACTGCTGCAGGGCTTCTGAAAGCGGGAGAGGAAGAACCTCGGGTCACACAGGGGAGGCACCAAGAGACTGGGTCTTACGGTTTTGCTTTTAATTACTTTTATGGCTGTTCTGTGAACACAGCAGTGCCTGTGGATGGTGGGTGACCAGCAGTACCAACTCTCGGGGGCCGGAACACCAGCCTAGAATCCCGATCAGAGCATGGCGAGGAGGGGAAATATGATGGTCTGGAGCTTTAGACGCTCCCACCATTTCCACCACACCCCCGGCAAAGTCATCCCCCAAACACATAATGGAAGTGTGAAAATTGCTTGTTACATATACAGTATCCAGACACACAGCATCCCCCACGTGGTTGTGCTTAACAGGACTGCAGCTCCTTGGTCCTTCTGGATTCCCTGAAGCCCTTCCTAGACTACTCTCCGTGATGTCCTGATCGCTTGTTGAGATTACTCTTTTCAGCACCAACAGTGGCATCACCACCCTACCCCAGGCCATCACACTCCATCTGCCTTGTCCTGTCACCTCCGACATGCTTTTAACAGCATAGAAGTGGGAGCACAGGGTCAGGATTGAGCCCAGTGTCCTCTTCCAAGAACCACTCAAGAAACGGCTACTTGGAAGCCAAAGGCTGACCATGGGCCTGACTGTGTTTGTGCATGTATTCCCCTATTGAGCTTCTGCACTATGGACCTCATGAAAAATCAACAGACAGATTCAGCTGAGTTCAGCTGAGCCTTTTCTTGCTCTCAAAGTCACCAGGGAGTGTGCATTTTCCCCTTGGTGGCAAAATGTATCCCTTTAGGGTAAGATCAAGCCTCTTGGTCACTTTGCTCCACAGTCCAGTGGCTCCAGGACCTGCCCTGACTGGCTGGCCACCAAGGCTCACCACTGATGTTGAGCAGATGTGTGAAGAAGAAGGACTGCTTGTGGAAGTCCTCAATGGCCAGGACGATGGGCCCATCCAGGCTGCTCCTCAGGGTCTTCTTGGAGCCACTCTTATCCGCAATGAGCGATTCCAGCATGGTCCGTACCATGTACAGCTTGAAATGGAAGTGAGATGAGATGGTGAGGGCGAGCCCTCCATCCCCAGGAGAAGGTTGCTTCATGCTGTGGCTTATGTTTTCATTTTTTTGCAGATGTCTGTTCTTAAAAAGCACTGACTTAAGGAAGCACAGTGCAGGTCTGGAGAAATGAATATGGGATGTAGCAACCTTAAGAGGAAGCCTGCTAGCCTGGGGAGGAAACTCTGCCTGGGGCCTGCACACCTCTGGGGTGAGTGGACCTCGCAATACCAGGGAGTTCAAGGCTCAGGTTCTTGCCTGCTCTGCTCAGCTCAGCTGCAGGCATGGGCATCAGATGACCTTAGTCATGTCACTCTGGGTTCATCTTACAACTATGGTGGCACCAGGGATGGAGCCTGAGCTGAGAATAAAGACAAGCGTTCAAGGCCAGCCACTGTTGCCAATTTGCTGTGTGACCTTGGGCAGCAACATCCTACTCTGGGCCTCAGTTTTCTTCTCTGCTAACATGAGGAGGTTGCCCCAGAAGCTTTCTCAAACCAATCCCTTTCAGCTTTAACATCTGAGGAGCTATGACCTGGGCTAGGAGCTAAAAGAGCATGCCCCGCCCCCACCTCGTTTCTAGCCCCAGGCAGTTTGACTCAATAGCTGAGGCATGGCGCCCCCTGGTGGCACCAGCTGCATTGCACGGTCTGCCAAAACTGGTGGAAAGTGGAGAAGATTGGTACTTACACGGGGGGCAGCCTACTAGACAATTAACCCCAGCTTACAGAAAGCCCGAAGCTCAAAGGACACAAGTGCTAATCTAGATCTTTCCACATCATTTGTCTTTGAATCTTAAGGCTGGAAGGGGCTTTGAGGAGCCAGGCTAGTCCATTCCCGTGCCTCCTGGAGAAGTCTACCCAAACAACCCAGCAGGCGGTGTTATACCAGGGATCGGCAGCCTCTTCGGCCCTGTGTGCCACCAGTGGGGTGAAACAAAGCCCGCGGGGACCACTGGCAGGCCTAAGACATAGATAGGAGAGAGGAGAAGGGTGTGGGAGGGCAGGAGAGACAGGGAGAAGGGAGAGAGAGAGAGAGAAGAGAGAGAGAGAAAAGCAAGAGGTATTGTATACAGTGGGGATGCCGTCACGACTGCAAGGGGCCACCGGCCACCACCTCTGAGTTGTCCAACCTCCCTCTGGCACCATGTCCATCCTTGTTGCCTGAGACTCTCCTCTAGGGCCTGGCCCGCCACGCCTGGTAGCGTGGCTTTGGAGAGAAGCGGCTAGCCATCTCTACCAGGCCCGTCCCACTGTGTTTCAGGAACTGCCTCAGCTGCTGGTTTGTGACAGTCCACCCACTGAAGCCCCACTGGGCACAAGTCTGATCATCCCTAAGACTCAAGCGGCACTGTTCAAATGACTCCTTTTGGAGTCTCTGAGAAAGGATTCATCAAGTCCAATACACCAGGTGCTGACCCTCAGTATAAAACTCTATCTATCTGTAAATCCATGTAGTCCATAAGAGGGGGAACTCTTTTCCCACCTGCTTTTGCTGAACAGAGCAACGAAGTCACCAGAATCACTAACCCCCAGAGATGCTAGGTGCTGGCATCCACAGAGCCTGGGAGGCAATCAGGAGACCTGTTTCTCGCCCTACCTCCACCTGACACCCACCTGGTGGCTTGAACAAGTCACTTCCCCTCTCAGACCTCAGTTTCCCTAACTTGTGAAGTAGGGGAGGGGCTGGGAATCATGTATCTCTTAAGCTTTTCTAGTTCTGACCATCTAGGAGTTGATTACATGCATCTGTGCGACCTGACCTGCCTCAGGGTGATGGGCTTATATAGGGTGGGAGGGTGACATCCCCGCCCACACTATACAAATTACTCCTCTCCTCTCTTTCTCTCCCTCTCTCCACTTCCCACCCTTACTCTCTCTCTTCTCTCCCAGTCTCTCTCCAGCTCCCTTTCCCTTTTCAGTTTTTGTCCCTCTCCCTGTCTCTCTGTCTAATGCCCCCTCTTTTTTCTCCCCCCCCCCCACTGTGCTTCGCCTCCGTTGTCTCTTCCTCATGTATGTCTTAACACCCCAAAGCCTTGCTCAGACTTTCCTGGGTATTCTGGGCTGGAAAGCTCTCTTGTCTTTGACAAGACCCAGAACTGAAGGTAGAATCTTCCTCAAGATGTTCCATAACCAGCAGGCAAGACTGGGGCAGACTGGCTCTGGGGCCGTGAAGCTGAGAAAATAGCACTGGCTGGACCACCTCAAGATCATTCTGTGCCCCCACCCCCACCACCCTGGCCCCCGGGACACAAACACACACAGATGACTCACGGGCTCAGGGTCCCAGAATTCCAAGGTAGAGAGAGGCTTAAAGGTCCCGTGAGGTGGGAGTCCCTAGTCTGAGGCTGCTAAGACTTTAACAAGACAATGAATCCACAGGTTTTCCCCTTGCCCTCTCAAAAAAGCCTACCACAAACTATTTCTCCTCAAGTAGATGGTAAGGATTTATTGAGGATGTCCAGATCTTTGACTTGTTACCTGTAACCTTGTGATTTTGGATGAGCCACAGGAGACCTCTTGTTCAGAAGCTCTGGTTGGCAACTCTGAATGTCTCTGATTACTAGGCTTTCTCTAAGGGGTCAAGGACTCTCCATGTTTTGCTTTTGGGGGATATCGGGAATGACAAAGGGGGCATTTTGTCAGTAACAAGATCTCAGCCAAAGTTTTCATTTAACAGAGAAGTGATACTTAGAGCTCAGAGAGGTCAAGGCACTTGCCCAAGATCACACAGCAAGTCAGAGGCAGTACCTGTGAATTCACAAGGTAGGATGTCACTGCAGGGGAAGGGCTGGGGCTCATTACAAGCGGACAGGACATGCAGGTTAACTCTGCATTAAACGGCTTTAATTTGGAGCCTGCATTTGCAGAGCTAGCAGTTACCCAGTGCTGGTATACCCCCATTTTCCAGATTAGACAACTGAAGCACAGAGATTGCGTAACGTGCCCGAGGTCACACAGGTGTGTATCTAGGACTAGAATCCAGGTCTCCTGAAACTTCAGCCAGTGCTCCTCCCTCCTCTAGCAAACCAGGTCGGCAGAGCAAGACTAGGATAGCTGCCTGACCTTCCCCTCCTGACCCAGGATGCATGGCCCCACAGCCCAGGAGTCCAGCCAGGACAACCTCCCATGTCCAGCAGCCTAACTCATCACAGTCAGCTGGAGCCCACTGTCACTTACCTGTGTGCTGGATGGCCCCACGGCACGCCGGGGCACCTTGATGTCAAACCCGCCTTTGGGATCCTTCTCCCCTCTCAAACATGGGTCATTGGGGGGCTCCCGGCCCCCTTCCCAGTCACAGATGGTTTTTCGAATTGCCTGCAGGACGCTGGGGAAGGAAGAGCCAAGACTCAGACAGAGCTTTACCACTGAAAGGGGCGTAGGAAGTCTGTCTGGGTCAAGGTCTCTCGGAATCACATGCTTTAGAATTTGGTGAGCTCGAACACATCCTTGGGCTGCAATGGATGCTGGATTAACAGATTTGAGGTGCAGTCCAAAACCTGCATTTTACAGTTGCCTTGGGTGGTTCTGACCTACGCTTAGCTGACACTAGTCCTGAGCTTGGCCCAATTAAACATCTCTACGTTTTAACAGTAGCTTCTATTTGTTGCATATTTATTCCCTACTGCTATGTGCTCAGTCTACACATGGATTATTTCACCTCATCAAACCAGCAGCCTCGGAAGTAGGTGCCAATCTTACCTACATTACAAAGAGGGGAGATTAAGGCTGAGAGGTGGCAGATCACTTGACTAAGTTCACACAGTTGGGCCAGACTGAGGGTGGGTCCATCTCAAATGTCCACCTCCTAAAAAATACCTTCTATGGAACCTTCCAGAAGGGCCTGCCTGTGTGCCCTCCAAATTGGCAGAGCCAGGAACTTGTTCTGTGGACCCTAGCACACTGGTTTTGGAGGTACTCTGAAACTCCGCCAGCCGAGCACCTACCTGATGAGGACATTCTTCTTCTTCCGCACTGCCTGCCTCAGGGGCTCACGCAGCGTGGCCTGAGCAAAGTCCTGCAAGGCTGCGTAGATGGTATTCCTGATGGCCTGGTTAAAGACGCTCTCCATCCTGCCCATGAGTACCTGCAGCCCCTTGATCATGGCGATCACCTAGAAGGCGGTGCACAGCTTAAGACCAGGCTCAGCTGCCTGCCGGGTCCTCTCCAGTCCTGACCAAGCACGGAATGAACCAAGGAGCCGTGGATGCAGGGGACGTTCACTCCAGCACGAGGCCACTATCTCGCTGCTGAGTGGTGAGCAGCGGCCAGCCCACATCTCAAACAGCTCTCTGGCCTCTGGAGACCCTTCTACAGACACATAGCTCATATCAAAAAGAACTTTTTGTTTACTGTAAAAACTTTAAAAGGACATTCTATCTTCTCTGCTTTTGAAATATTTTGTCCAGATGCAGCTGAATAGGGGATGGGGAAAGGCGGAAGGGAGAAGTTTCTATCTGCCCTTCGATTACTCCCTCTTTCACCTTAACTAATGTTATCTGTCTGCGGGATGGGTGCCCGTCCTCTGGGTGCCAGCCTTCTTCCAGTAATCACCCCGCCCCACCTTGAGGAACGGAGGTGTGCATTTATATAGCCTGACTCCCAACGGGAAGTCTCATTGGAGAGGGGGGTATTTGGAATCAACAGGAGGAAGGTTTTGCTGGAGAGAAGCCTAAGCGCAGAGAGACAACAGGAGAGCAGCCTTCAAGGGACAATGGACCAAAGAGGAACCTGGACTCTCAGCTCAAAGCAAAATGTGCGGTACTGGGATATAGATGGACACATGGGCTATGGGAGAGACTCAGTCCTGAAACAAAGCCTTAGCTTAGTAAAAGTTGATTTTCACTATGATTGCAACTTCACATTCATAACCTGGACTCTCAGCTCAAAGTGAAATGTGCGGTACTGGGATATAGATGGACACATGGGCTATGGGAGAGACTCAGTCCTGAAACAAAGCCTTAGCTTAGTAAAAGTTGATTTTCACTAAGGGTGACAAGACAATTTAGCAGACAAAGAAAAGTCTTTTCACAACTAGTGCTGAGGCCACTGGTTATGTACATACAAAGATGAAGTTGCATCCCGACCTCACATCATACACAGAAGTGAACTGCAAGTGGCTCATGTCTAGTGTAAGAACAAAACTGTAAAGCTCTTAGAAGACAACACAGGAATAAACCTTTGAGTTCTTGGATCAGGCAATAATTTTTCAGATGTAATCCCATTCATACAAGTGAACCACAGAAAAACAAATGGGACTTGATCAAAGTGGAAAACTGCCTTTCAGAGAATACTAACTAGGAAGTAAAAAAAAAAAAACCATGAAGTAGAGAAAAGTTTTGCAAATTATATGTCTAGTGAGGGCCCTGTATGCAGAATATACAGAAACTCTGACAGCTCAAGAATATAAACCTAAGCAAAAGATGAGCAAAGGATTCAAACAGATATTTCTCCGAGGCGGACATGTAGAGGGTCAATAAACACAAGCACAGATGCTCTATATCGTTTGTTCTCAGAACTATGTGAGCAAAAACCACATGCAGACACCTCTTCACACCCACTAGGATGGTGAAAATAGATGAGGAGGATGTGAAGAAACGTTCATACGTTGCTGGTAGAGCTGAACAATGGTTCTGCCACTTGGAGAAATATCTGACAGGTCCTCACATTTTTTAATGAGTTAGCATGTGACCCAGAAATTCTACTCCTTGACTATACTGCCAAGAGAAATGAAAACTATTTCCACAAACTTCCAAAAACTTCTGCACGAATGTACATGGCAGCAGTATTTATACTAGTCAAAAAGTAGAAATAGCATAGATGCTACCCATTTGTGAACATACAAACACGTGTGACATATGCAGGCACGGCACTACCATTTAACCATGAAGGAGGGACAGGTGTGTGTTACGACATGGTGAACCTTAAAAACATCACACTAAGTGAAAGCAACCAGACCACAGTCACTACATATGATATGTGTACATTCACATAGACTCTCCAGGACAGGGAACTCTATGGAGATAGAAAGCAGATTCTTAGCTGTCAGAGGATGGGGGGTATGTAGGGGGGATAAGGGAGGAATGGGAAATGACAGCTAATGGGTATGTGTTTTGGGGGGACAACGATGTGGTAAAATTAGACAGCAGTAATGATTTCACAGCTCTAAATATACTGAAAATAATTGGATACTTAAAAGGGTACATTTTAGGGCATAGGAATTATATCTCAATAAAGCAGCTATTAAAAGAATTCTACAGAGGAAATAAATAACAAATTATCGGGGGTGACAGTAGAATCCAACTTTTCAATAGCAGCACCTGAAGACAATGGAGTAATACCATAGTGCTGGAAAATTCTTTAACAATTTAGAATTCTTATCTAGTCAATCTGTAAGTGGGGTTAGATGTCAAATGTTTTCAGACATGCAAGATCTCAGTTTTCTTTCTCCCCTCCTCAGAGAGCTACTGGAAGAAACAGTCTGCCTAAAGAGAGAGGCAGCAAAGGGAGCTGACTCAGGAAGAGGGGCTCCCAGCCACAGGAAGGAGACGTCCAGATCAGCACCTGGACACCAGGTTCTAGACACCCACCAGCTCTGACTGTAACCAAGGGAAGAATACAATTCCTGAAGAAATGATTGCAACTTCACATTTCATAAGCAGTTTTATATCCTGTGGGCACATCTAGGTTTGCCATTTTGCTCTGCTCATAGAAAACCAGAGTTATGGTCTTTTCCCTACCTCTTTGGACTTTGTGCTTTCCTTTTGTCCATCTGCCTAATGGAGTGGATACTTTCCTTTGGATATCTAAGAACAGAGTAAGTTTCTAATCATTTCTGAGGAAGAACTTTTGACAGAACTCAGGTGACAGAAGAGGGCCAGGAAACTGTATCCATGGCTCACAGAGGCATGCCTGAAATGTGGAGATCCACACCAGGCAGCAGGCTGGGGGCGAGGGGACACGATGTCGGCACCCACCTCCACGAAGGCGAACTTCTCCTCGCTGGTGTAGTTGTAGCGTGTGGCTCTCTCATACTCCTCAGCTGTGCCCGGGCAGTCCTTGTTACAGAATTTGTCTGTGGGGTGCACCAGCTTCCAGGAGTACTGGAGAGAGAGGAGAAATCCCAATGTCCATCACGGGTGACTGGAGGAGCAAGATGAGGTGAGTTTGGGCAGCAGGGTGGGGCTGGGTCATGATAGGAGTGATGGAAAAAGTCTCTATCCTACAGGGACCAAGCTTGAAAAGGGGAAGCCCACAAAGGCAGACACCAAGCACCACACTATGGGGTTCTACACTTAAAGAAACTTAAAGAAAATGCCCAGAATCTGGAAATCTACAGAGACAGAAAGCAGATGGCTCAGGGCCAGAGACAGGCAAGAGGAATGAAGTGATGAAAATGTTCTAAATGCAACTTGGCTGCACAACTCACTGAATACACCAAAAGCCAATACATTTACATTTTTAAAAAGATTTATTTATTTATGCATACAAGAACTGGGGTATAGGCCAGAGGTGCGGGGGTGGGAGGTGAGGCGAATTTCTCCTCGCCCCACCAAAGACAGAGTGGGGACCAGAACAGGCAGATGCACTGAAATACACTGCTGAGGGGAGCGGTGGGTGGGCTTGGAGAGGTCTGCCACGCCATGTGGGTCAGCTCCCTGGTTGGGATCGAACGCGTGCTGCAGATAGCTTCATAATGCCACCAGGGAGGGCCTTACATTTACATGTTAAGTAGATGAATGCTATATAATTTGTGAGTCATATCTCAATAAAGGTGTTCAAGGAAAGAGGATTTTAGGTCAGCTCATGGAGGTAAAACACGTCTTTGAAGGATCCACCACCCCAAGACCAGTCACTGGTTGCAAAGCTCACTGCATGGAAACTTACACAGACACGTAATCATGCTGTTGACTAAGGAAGACTGAAATGAAATGGGCAGGTTCTGAGTGAGTGAGGAGGGCCCATGGCTGGGCTACCTACCACCTCCATGACATGGGCGCTCCACTTGGACAACAGCTGCAGCCCCCTCAGGGCGAGGTCGAAGAGCTCCCGGTACTCCTCATCCGACTTCTGGCTGTCCAGCCCAGAGCCCGTCACCACCTGAGGGACACAGGCCACGTAACCCTTCGTGCCTATGTGTGGCCTCCTCTGTATGCATTACACCATCGATGAATCCAGAACGCGTCGAGAGGTGCTGGTAAAACACCCCCAGACAGGACACAGAGGCTCAGGCAGAACCACATGGCTTGTAGATGGTTGAGGCTTCCAGTTCTAGAAGCAAATGTCAGGGCTTGCTCACAGCCACCCTAGTCTGTGGTGCACAGCAGCTCGTGACTGGAGCAGGCTCCTCATATACCGGAGGCTCTGGAACACAGCCCCATCTCAGGATACAGGGAAGAGCACTTTCCATGGGCACCTGTGCTCTCGGTTCATGAAATTTCCTGATTTTCTATTGCCTACACAAATGCTAATTATGGACCACGAACAGATTCCACCACTCATTAATTTGAAATGATCCATGGATTGAAAAGCAGTACTGAAGAAAAGAGTACGATTCCATGATGTGATAATGCACACGTGCAAGTCACCGCACATACACAGGCATGGGCACGTATGCATTTGTGTGCACACGCGTGCACACACACATGTTATTTGTGTGGCACATAGAGACACTCACATGTGCGGGTGCACCCGGTCACACACGTGCAGATGCACAGTCACACATGTGCTTCTGTGGGCACAGGCACCTATAAATGCGTGTGTGTATATTAAGGTGTATATGTACACAAAAATATACATGCCAGCCCTTATTATTTGTACAGTGTGTAGTTATGACTTTGCCTGCTCACTAGAATTTATTTGTAGCGATAAATCAACACCCACAGTGCTTTTGAGCTCTCTGCACATGTGGTGAAGGTGCAAAAAATCTGAAGCTAGTTCCGGAGGTCCAACAAGCGGGTGTTTCTATGTTTCCAGATCAGCTCCCGTCTGCAAACATGGAGCCTTTCTGTGGCCTATTTAGTGCCTGCCACATTTTTCAAATTTTTGGTCTTTTTTTTGTGATTTCGTGAATTAGCATAGTCCCCAAGCCGAGGCCTGGTGCTCTGGCTCATGTCCCACGTGGGCCTTATGGAGGCCCACATATGTTAGGTAATCTCCCTTCAGGCATGAGTCGGTGGGCTGTTGGCCTTGAGTTAATGTTAACATATCAGCCAGAAGGTGTCTTTAAACAGAAACACTTATAAGTAAGTTTTGTTTGATCAGTTGGTGAAACACAGGGAAGGCTCCCTAAGCTGATCCTGTATTTCACTAAAACAATGGTTCAGTATTCTCTCAGTGTTCAAGGTCACTTTACAGATCACACCTATCCTGAGTAACAAGAATCATCTGTACAGGCAAGTACAAAGTGTGTAATTTGAAAAGAACTCTAAGCACAGCTCATTCTTAGATCACACCTAATCTGCCGAGGAATGAAAGCTGCCCAGCGCTTCAATTATCCCATAGCTGTAGTTAAGTGTGTTGGCACATAAGACTAAGATAGTTGAAGGTCTGGGCTCAACCCTGGTTCATGCCTGCCAGTAGCTCTCATAAGAATGCAAACCACTCTCTTGATGGCCACACTGATTTCATTTGCCTGCTTTCATTGTCTGACCAGCTCTGTTGCAAATACCTTGAAGACACTTTGAAGTTTGGTGTGGGAGAGTGAGTGCACTCTGGACGTTGGCCACCTGCTGGCGCCAACGAGCACAGGTGAGCTCCCAGGGAGGATTCAGAGCAGGACCTGCACCTGTTACCCACTACCTATGCCCCTTAGAATGGCTTCAGATAGCACTGAGACAATAGATCTTCTGTGTATAAATAAATAAAACATCTTTTAAAGGGCTTCCAGGGAAGCCAACCTAAATATTAACCATAGTAGGTTCTGGGTGATGGGATTTCGGGTGACTGACTTTTCCCTCCTGCTTATCTGTTTTTCTGAGGTTTCTGTGTTAATCATGGTTCTGTGTTTTTAAAAATAAGAAAAATTCAACACAGGTAAAAATTAACTAGTGAAGAGAGATCTGTATGACCCTTTTCTGTCCCTTCATGTATTTCCTGACTCATTACAATGGTCACTTATCATTGAGGAGTTTAAACATTCTTCGATGTCACTGTGAGCAGAAGGTGGTTGGGGCCACATACAGATAAGCCGCCGGTGGGCCCTGACTACTTGCCGGGCTCCTTTTGCCCTCTCCAGGAACCTTGAAGGAGCAGGTAGCTCTCCCATTGCACAGAGGAGGAACCTGCAGCCCAGAGATATCAAACAACTTGTGCAGGTAAGTGGTAGAACCAGAACCATGGCCAGGTGGATGGACCTGGCTCCAGAACCCCTGTTCTTGACCCTCCTGCCTGGGATGGGCCCTCCCTCACTCTGCTGTCCATGCTCCCTGTTTCTAGATTCTCCTTCTTGCTCCACTGGAGGCACCCCCAGCAGCAAGAGACTCACCTCACTGTTGCTGTAGCGGGCCAGTTCAGAGATGAATCGGATGTGGTCATCCCGGATCTGCACCATCTGCTCACAGATGTTGTACTGGGGGCTGGTGCTGCTCTGGGTGCATGTCCACCTGGGTGGAGAGGTGGGGGTCGGAGTGGGGCCTGGCCTGGACATGGGGCAGGACAGGCGACATCTGCTCCCTAATGCTCCCGGTGTCCAGCCATCGGCAAGACCACCAGCTGTGTCCCACGGTGGGGATCCCACGTGGCATGGGAGGGCCTCCTCTCATCGTGGCTGGTCCAGACACCAGTGTCCACATACTTACCAGTTACTGGAGCCAGGAGGGACCTGAAGCCTTGCTAAGACTACAGAGGGCTGGAATTTGAGCAAAGGAAAAGCACATGGGTGACTCCCAACCTGGGTACCGACCGACGGCTCTAGGACCTGTGGTTGAAGCTTCAAGGAGCCTCGAAGGGACTCCTAAAGGGACCTGATCCCTTTTCAACAGCGACCTGCAGTGTGGAAGCAGGCTATCGAGAGGTGGCCTGACAGGTGTGGCTGGCTCCCTCTTCCCACCCTCATCTTCTTCCCTCTTCCTCTATTTTTGACCTCAACTCTTTTCAAAAATAGCACGGAGGAAACTTTCCTGGTGCAGAGGTAATCAATGAAATCGTCATGCTCCTTCCCCAAGAGAAAAAAAGGGCAACCCCTTTTCCTTGTTCAGCCTTTGGTGCCTAGGCGTGGACTCCAAACAAGGTAGAGCGATGTGTGGGGAGGAATGCCATATTTCAAAAGGAGCCTTGATGCAGACCTTATCCCGACGCTCAAAGTGGACAGAGCCAAACCTTCCCATCGACACTCGGGCCTGGCTCTGATTTTGAGTTCTTTGGGTAGGGATAGAAGCACAGTCACTCAAACCTCCTCTCCTACCCTGGTCGCCTCACTCTGTCCTTAGGTCAGCCCAGGTCACCTTTCTCAGACCCATAAACCAACCTGAGTCACCTCTCTCAGGTCCTCACACTGGCCTGGATCACCTTACTATCCTCCACTCCACTCACTACCACTTTGGTTGGTGGAGAATTCACTCCAGGAAGGTGAGAAAGTGGGTTCAGCAACCTATACTTTCCCTAGAAACCCCTAGAAGTTAGAGGTGAGTAAGAGACTTATTAACTCGCTCTCCTTAGTGACTTGAGGCTGTGGAGTTCAAGGGCACTCATATGTTCAGACTATGGCATGGTGTGTGTGAAAAGGGTTCTTTTGCTCAGTGTGGAGAGAACACCTTTGAAGATCGAGGGTTTCCAAGGCTGTGCCAGATGTTCCTCACACCCCTGACACTCCACAAATCAGCAAAGATGACCTAGAATGGCAGCTTGTAAAGTGGCCTGGGAGAAGCTGGGCCCCACCCAGCAGTGGACAGTTCCAAACCCACCCTGATGACTTATGCAGGGACACAGGGCCTGTGGAGGACCAGGTGACAAGGCCACCCCTCTCCCTCCACTGGCCACCATGGGCTGCCAATCCTCCCTTCTCAAGGGCAGGGTTCTTGATGTCTCCGTGGCCTGTGTCACTACAGGGACAGAGAGGGGGCGCGGCCATGCCCTGAGTGCTTTTGAAACCAAAAGCAGCAAAGGGCAGGCACAAAAGCACTCAGAGCGGCCCCGCGTGCCCTCAGCCAGCCCAGCCGGGCGCAGCACTCGGGGTCACTGCCCAGGGCTCCGGAGCGGGGGGAGGGGCTGAAGTGGCCCCTCAGCCCCTGCCTGGCCGGCGTCCTGGCGGGGCCAAGAGACATTACGGCAGGCACTCACTTGGACTTGTTCTCTTCATAGTGAGCACTGGTCTTAATGTATCTGGCCAGCTCTATCTGCATGTCGCCGAAGAGGGGTACCACCTGCAGCTGCTGAAAAGAAGCAAACAGAGCATGTGAGATGCCAGAGGAGCAGGCCTGGGGGGCCTTGGGGGGGCTCGGGGTCTAGCCCTGGCTTCTGCTTCCAGTGATGGGACTCTGGAACCCCGAAGAGCCCTAGCCAGCATCCGGGTCTTTCCCTGCCTCCAACCCAACCTGTGTTCCAGCAACTGAGCCCAGAAAGGCACAGCGGCTCATCCAGGGGTGTGAAGCACACAATCGGGAGGAGGGACAAGGACCAGATGACCCGCCTACCAGGGCAAGTCTTGTGCTCCGGTTAGAGAATCTCTGTGGCCTCCAAATGTGGGCCAGGAGTGAGCCTGGCTGCTGTCGGTGGGGTGTGGCCACCCCAAGCAACTCCACCAGGGAGAAACACCTTCACCCCACCAGAATGGGGCTTATAACTCCCCATTGGACACCAGGACAAAGGGTGGACGGAACAGTGTCAGAACCAGAGGATGGACACTTGACATCCCAAACCAACAGAATGCACAGAGCCAAGAGGGAGCCCCACTGGAAACCACATTCTTAGGGTGAGTGTACACTGGGCTTCATCATCACCCTAGCTGCCCCATTCTGGTGGGGGTGTTAACAGTGGGGGAGGTAGTGCCCTGGGTGGGAGCAGGGGCCCGTGGACACTATATTTTGCTTGGTTTTGCCATGAACCTAAGACTGTTCTTCAAAATCATCTCTTAAAACAAATGCTGACTCCCAGTCCCTATGATAGCCCTGTGAGGTTAATGGTCATTCCCCTTTCACAGACAAAAAGTTAAAGCTTAACCCATTTCAGTGATATTTTTTTCAAAGTCAGACCAGCTGGAAGTCAAAGCACTAGGACTTGATTCACCCAGCTGATCCCACGGGGTCCTTTGCAGGCTGGGGAATCAGCTTCAGAGAGGGTGAGTGATTTTCCCAAAGGCACCCAGCAATAAATGCAGAGCTGACTCACACTCTGGCCCACTTGAGGCTGGCTGTGTCTCCACTCCACCCCATCTCTTCACACTGACTTAAGACAGGGGCAGATTCTCCCAGGGTCTCCCCAAATGGACCCTGTTTTCCTTTGGGGCAGCACCAGAGAATCACGCAGATTCCAGACTGGAAAAGAAGCCAAGACAAGTCATGGCTAACTCCTGGTGACTATTTCCCCTAACCTCATGGGGTCAGTGGCACCCAGGCCAGCCTGGTACCCTCTGTGCCCAGTCTTTCAGGGCCCCTGGTTATGGTAAGCCTGCTCCGCCACGTCTAACCTCTGGGTTCCACACCAAACAACACCAGGAGACCCTGACCGCATGGACTGCAGGCCCAAGGATGAAGCCCTCTTGCAGACACCTCAAAGGCTTAACTGAGCTGCCCACTTTTATTTTTAAAGATTTGGTATTAAAAACTCCAGTCTCTGAGGTTGAGGGTGGAGGAAGAGGCTGTGTGCTTGCAGATGTGGACCAATTTAAATTCCAGGCTCAAAGCCTCCTGCTCATGAGAGCTCTGATTAATGCTGAAGGTTAAAATAAAATAGACTCTGAAGATGGAGATGCCCCTCTCTCTGGATGGCAAGGGATTTCAGGAGAAGGGGAGGCAGGATACCCAATGAACCACAAAGTGAGAATCGGTGCTGTCTGATTTCCAGGGACAGCTGACATCGGAGGCTCCTCTTATGAGGCAGCTGGAGGCCCCACATCCCTCCGCCCATAGAGCCTTCAGAGGCAAAGCTCAGGGCACATGGCCCGTGGGCTGGCTGGCAAATTTCACTTCTTCTCTCTCAGCCCCCTACCCACCCCCAGCCCAGGGGCTGACCTTAAAGAACTTATCGATTTTGCTGAGGTTGATTCTCTTCTTGGCATCCAGTTTGTAAATGTTACTGACGTTTCCATCCATGAGGTAGAGACCAAAGCCCATGACCTAGACAAGCAGGAAGCATAGAAGCCAATTATGTCCAATGTTCCCCCAAAACAACAAAAGTAGGTTGGAGCACAAGTATATGCACATACCCCAGCCCTGCGGTGACATTTATTTTAAAACCCCACATGTCTTTACATAAACAAAGGGCAGGTAGGTCTGAGTTCAAGCAGAACTTTGATATCTGTTAAGAAATTTAGATGGTTTGTTGGTGTGTTGTTATGGCGACTTCTGAGCCCTGATATGGGCCTGACTGTGCTATGGCCTTTGACAGGCATGATCCTACATTTTTACAGCAATCTGTGAGTTGTGTTGTACACCACAACCCTTAACTGTGGATGAGGAACCGGAGGCAGAAAGGTTAGGTCTCTTAGCCAGTGTCACACAGCTACCAGGATGTAGTAGAGTTAAGAGAGGAAGATGGACCTGTATGTGTTGCACCCCTGGGATCCGGTACATCCCAGGAACTGGATGAATACGTGGGAAATGCTGAGTGGAGGTAAAATGGTTTATTTCTTCCCCAAGGAGACAATCATGTAAAGATTCCTGAGAAGACCTGGGTTGACTTCATTAAAAGAAGAGCACTTTCCATTCCAGTCCCTCCAATAGTCTCCTGGATGCTGGTGTGCAATGGACAGTGGCCTGAAGGAGATGGGGAGGGGCTGCCCTGGCTTCGGTTGCTGAGTGATAGTGGGCAGGTCACACCCAGCACAGGGAACGGATGGTGACAGTGGTGACTTCATTGCATGCTGAGTTTCTGCAGGTACAGCGAGACTTTTCCCTTAAGGATGTTCCCTGGTATCCTCTGAGTTTCCGAGTTCCCTCACACAATCTGTAGAATAAAGCGAAATGCTAGAGGCCAGAATAAAGAAGCAGAAAACTAAGCAGGAGAAGAGTGAGGAGCTGTGGAGAGGCATACAGGCAGGTGAGAGAAATGAAGGGTAGAGAGATTTTGGCAGCAACATCTAAGAGTGCTTGGGGGCAGCAAATGGGGAGTGCAGAGTAAGTGGGAAGCATGTGGGGAGGTCAGAAAGGCCGGGATTTGGGAGATGCCTCTGGATTTCTGCTTGTGCAGGAAAGTCACAATGAGCTAGCCCCAAAGCCAGCCTGCACGAGGCCCATAGGAATGGAAAGAACAGATTCTAAACAGCAAGAAGACCTGGTAAGTCATAGCAAACCACCTGGGGAGCTTTGAAAGGGGAGACTCTTGGCAAGAAAGGCTAAAATGATCCTGGCAGTGTGTGTGAAGAATCTGGGAGGTCATGCGTTTGGGGGCTAAGATTGTCACGGGTGAGCTGAACAGCTCGCAGTCATTAACTTAATGGCTAAAGTAATCACAGCCCCCTTGCCCTCTGATGTTATTTAATGGGTGCACAATATTCCAAATACATTTAATGACATGGGATAAAAGGCATATAGTGTATGTATACTGCATATGCTGAAAACGTAAGCACCAAAAAAAAAAAAAAATGGGGTGAAACGCATCAAGGTGCTAATAATGGTGTTTCCTTTGGGCGGAAAGGTCGTGAGAGGTTCAACTGTGGTGACCTCTTCTTCCCAGTCAGGTTTTCCACAGCATTAAGTATCACCTGCTCATTTAAAACTGAAAACTGTATGCTGATGAAACAAAAGTGATCACTGGGCCTAACTGAGAGGAGGTTGATGACTTTGTCTTCCCTTTGGGTTCACAATCACTCCTCTCCTTCTGGCAGTCTGACTAGCCAAGAGTATGTGAACAAAGGCTGTGCTTCCAGAATGTTCCACTCAGTTTAGCAACAAATAGCCAATATAGCCAATGGGAGGGGATTTGCTGAGGGGCTGCATTCCCACATGGGCTACTTAACAGTTATTAAAAATCACTTTGCAGAAATACCCTGGTGCGCCTGGTGGCACAGTGGTTAGAGCGCAGCACTAAAAGCCAGCAGCAGCCATTACAGTGCAGTTTGATCCCCAGCTCCAGAGGTGATCCACATGGCACAGCAGACCTCTTCCTGTCTCGCCCGCTGCTCCCCTCCCCACTCTGTCTCTGGTGAATCCTTTCACTGCCCCTGAATCCCTGGCCTTAAAATAAAAAAAAATCACTTGGTAGAAATACCCTTAAGGACAATGGGGAAAGCTGGTTATGACCTAGTCAAGATAGAAAGAAAAATAAGCTAGCAGGCCCTCCCTGGCACAGCACTATGAAGCTATCAGCAACCACATCCAGCACCAGTTTGATTCCCAGCCAGGAATGTGACCCATAGGGCACGGCAGACCTCTCCTGGCCCGCCTGCTGCTCCCCTCAGCAGTGTATTTCAGTCAGTCTTCCTGTTCTGCTCCCTACTCTGCCTCTGGTGAACCCTCTCACCCCACACACCTCTGGCCTGTACCCCAGTTCTTGTATGCATAAATAAATCTTTAAAAAAATAAGTTAGTGTAGTGAAATATGTATCAATGTTCAAGTAAGAAAAATAAATACAGTTGGGGTTAGGGGTGCCAACCCTGGCACAGATGAAAATCCCAGTATAACCCTTACCCCACCCCCCTGGAGAGGCAAGCTGCTCCTGGGGGCGGTAACTGGGTCACACCGCACTGTAAGTGGTGACTGGCAACCCTGGGATCAGGGAATAGTGACTGGAGGTGGCAACAAACCCAAGTGCTTTACGCCTCCCATTTAACAGTGCATCTTTGCACCTGCTGACATCTCTCCCAACTGCACATCGTGCCACAAATGGTCTTAAGTGTTTGTGAGTGTGGGCAAATTTTCACTTTTTATAGTAGATTGGTGTGCACTTTATGGTACTAAATGATCAAACAGACTATGGTCTACATATATCTTAAACTTCATGGCATGACTTTTTTTTTCATTATTCCCTATTTCTAGGCTACATGGTTCATCTGGGACTTTCCAAATTGTCAAAAGTCGTCCCCCAAAATTTCTGATATACTTGCTGAAAGAAAATCCACATATATTTGGTGGTGGGAAGTCCATGGTGATTACAACTGAGATGGGAAAATGCACAAAATGATGCAAAAATAAACTATTATTTAAAAAAATCCACATATAAGTGACCCTACACAGTTCAAAACCCTGTTATTCAAGAGGCAACAGTACTGTTTTTTAAAAAGTGATTCTAAATGAGAGTGAGGCAGGCCAGGCCCAGAGTACATGGCTGGGTGTGCGGCGCGGGTGTGGGTGTGGGGGAGGCTCACCTTAAGGAGCATGTGCTTCTCGCTGGGCGTCAGGTACATCTTGTTCTCATAGTAGTCCACGCAGATGTTGACGATGTCGGCCAGCAGCTCCTCGTAGCCGGGGATCACTTCCAGTTGCTGATGCAGGCACTAAACCGCAGCACCCACTCCGGTCAGTCTCCTCCTCAGGCCCCTCACCCACAGCCCCCAAGAGCCCCACAGCTGGGGGTGACATTGTCCACCCCACTGGTCACCCCCGGTGGAGGCAGGACTGCATCCTCTTGCAGGGTCCCCAGGGTCAGTATGAGTCCCCTGGGGCTCTCATTCCATTTCCCGGCAGTACTGATGCTGAGAAAGAGCTTTCCTGGGCTGAGTGGAAACGCGGTTCAGCTTTGCAGAAGCAGGCCTGCAGTGACCTCTGCTAAGTATGGAAGGTGTTGATTTACTTCTAAGTCACATTTGGGGATGTCAGGGAGTCCCAGCCCCAGGAGAAGAGAGTGGGCCAGCTGGCAATAATACAGAAGCACTTCCCTTCACTGGTTTGTCCCAAAGAGACAAAGGTTCCCCCCCACTGGAAATAAAACATTCCTATTTGATATCATTTGATTTTGGGAGGGTGGGTCTTGGACAAAAAAAATGTTGAGCATTTCCAGGACCCAAATTATACCAAAGTGGAACAATTTGCGAAAAGCGGGGGCAACCAGCATCCTGTGCAGGACGTGGTAGAGAATCTCGGGGAAGAGCCGAGAGCCACCATGCCCAGTGGCCTGCTGAGCTAACAAAAAGCAGGAAGGCTGAGAGCTGAACCAGAAAGTCCTGTGAAGATGTAGGCCCCCCTCAATTTGGGCTTAGGCCCAGCTGACACTCTAGCTGATGCTGGCTCAGGCTGAGCTGACAGATGAGCAGAACAGACCACAGCAGTTGGGGAGAAGACGCCAGCCACGACTAGGTGAGAAACCCTGCGAGCAGAGGCA